ACAGGAAAACAGGCATTGGGAAACTGAAGTAGACAGAAGGATTTCTCAAAGTATCAGCAAAATCAGAGAAGATTCAGAGGACAGTGAGTACAGTGAAGGCACCAGAACAACAGAGACAAATGGTACCATTAAAAAAGATGAGCAAGAGGAGATGTGATACAAACAGAACAAACTGATTTAGCAGACCAATTCTTTCCTATTCTCACAACACTAGCCCAAAATCAATTCAATTAAAAAAAAAGTAGGAAATTCCAAACTGCAGTTGGAAAGAAAATGCATTTTACACTACACATAATTAGCACTGAGATTATGAACCCAATAAAATTCAAAAATAGTTTCAGACTTTTATAGGCCTCCAAATTAATATCACACTGCCCATATAGGTCTTCACAATTCAGACCAGTCCCTACCACAGGAGATAAGATCCAGCATTGAAAACAGGTTCTTGCACATTTGGTAACTGAAGAACTGTTGATCCTCTTCTCTGTTACCTTCTATTCCTTGAGACAGACACTGGGCTGGAGTGATGTCAAGCTGACTCTGCCTGTTTTGATGGGCCTTCTGTTTCCACCGAAGCAAACCATCTAAGATGATTGGCAAGATTCAACTCTATATTTCAAGACCACATTTAAAATCAGAGATATTTCATTATACATCACTGTATTGTAGCCTTGCACTGGCCAGCATGGGAGTTTACAGAAACCATTACTATAGCCCAACTATGGCCCATTATGGGCAACAGGTTCAATAGTAAGGACAAATTCAGCTTAATGACAAAAAATATAGCATTCAAAAAGCTTTGATTCAAGTTAAATAAAGACTGTCTCCACATAAAGTTTATGGAGATAAACCTGTACAACTTCTTGATTGCAAGGCCAGAAACAACACGTAGCAAGAGGTGGTCAGAGCTCACCTGAGCAGTTCCTGGTGTACGCTCCTCAGATACCACTGAATTTATTTTTTCCTATTCTTATTTCACATCCAATAGCAATATTTATCTCCTTACAGAATGAAATTACGGGGACAGGTAATATTTTCAATTGTGCATATAGTGCCCTGCATAGCTCAGCGAGCAGACACCACCAAAATTTACATGTGTAGGTTTAGCAGGGAGAAACAGAGGAGGATTGTCTATTCTGCAATACATTAAGGTCATGTAGTAGTTTTCACCATTAACAAAAGAGAATTCAAGCATATTTTGGTGGCATTCTTTCATTCATTTCAGAGCATTTTTGAAATGCTTTGGAATTAGGCCAAGGCAAAGTACCCTCCTCAGATCTGCTGAGAGTGGGCTGAACGAGGATCATAAAGAAACGATGCTTTCTTACCTATGGTTTTCTTCGTGAAACTCACTGGTCGAAACCAAAACTTTTCCCATTCTGCAATGCCTCCAGTGCCCTCTGGCGTCTGCCTTCTGCAGCTTCGTACAGGAAGCCAGCAGCATGCCCTCTGCCAGGAAGCCCTCACTTAGGAGGAAAGTTAGACCACACATTAGCATGCTAGACACTGTTTGTTTGCATGCTTATAATTGTTTCTGAAAAAGATCAAGTTACCACTTCATTCCAATAAGATACCGAGGAACAAAGAAAACCGATGGCTCATTCCCAGCCCAGATTACCCCAAATTAACGGAGTTCCAACAGATTAACCCAAATTGCACTGATGATGACATAGAGTAACCCAGGAAATAGCTGTTTCTTCTTTTCTGCAGACTGCTGCAGATACACTATTAAATAGCTGCTAACACAAGTTTGTTTTTTCCTTTTCTTTCCTAAACTGTTTAATGGGAAAGGTAAAAAATTACCTAAGCCAAAATATTTTCCATGATATGTACAGAATAGCCATAAAAACATAGAGGAATTAAATGATGTTTTTGCACTGACATGACTGACAAAAACCAAACACAGTAACTGACTTACAGACTCACTCTGATTAAAAAGATTAGGACCACCAAGACTGAAAAACAGAAGAGCTGAAAACACATCTCCAATGTGGTGGAGGCAGAAGGCAAACATCCACCCTACTGTACACAGAGCAACGGGGCTGGCATGACAAAGACCACCTCACTGAAATATTTTTCCAAGACAACCAGCTGATCAAGGAACCTATGTTTCACCAACGAGGAAATAACATCCCATGGCTGAAACACAACATTCTATCTTTTACAGCAATTCTCTTTTTGGCAAAATGGATGGAAAAGCATTTCTGACTAGCTGAAAAACTTCATTTCTGTATTTTCTCAGCATGGGTATGGAAAAGGAGAATCAAAACTAATATCATGAAAAGGGATATCCCTTTACTTATGTACAGATATACTTGTAATGAGTGGTACTCAAGCAACGTTAGGAAAATAGAGTCTAATATAGAAACTAAATACAGCTAAGCAAAGAGGAGACCATATTGGGAAAACTCAGCAGAGAAAGTGAAGAACTGCAGTTTTCTAAATTAAGAACAAAGCATCACTGCCTACAAAATCCCAGTGGCTCTAATCACACCTGCTGCACAGGGAACAGCCTAAGTTCATCTCAGAGGATGAGAACATCTTCTGATTTCAATAACCTTAAACAGGACAATAACCACAGTAAGGAAATAACTTTGTTCCACTTTCACACCCCCTTCTCACTGCCCATCCACTGCATACATTGCAAAGCTCAGCCCAAATTAAAAGGTGAAGAACTGCCTTGTGTGAGTAGTAACAGCTCACACAGCCATCCCATAGCTGTATATGACTTCCTCAGTCACAAGAACATTCTAAAATGAGCAGCTGTAGCTCAGTACTAACTAGGGAAAATATCAAATTCATTTCAAACTGAATCCAAGTTGCATAAAATAAGAAAAGTCTCCCCCAACACAAAGGCCAGGTGAAAGCAAATCCCCACGTGTACAAGTGACTCCAAGCCCACAGCTCACTCCCAGGAGATGGTGCCCCATTACAAGCGTTGGAAGCACTTGAAAAGAGACTCAATTCATCATGTGTAAAAAAGCCAGAAAGACTTCATTCGTCTAACATAAAACATTAGCAGTTCCAACCTTGTCTGTGACAAGATTGTTAGCAGAGGCACCACTGCAATTACATCCCAAGAGAATGCCAGCTGAACAGATAGGAATTGTAAGTAGACAGATTTTCATCACCAAGGAAGATTTCAGGAAGAAAAAAAAAAAAAAAAAGAAAAAAAAGCTTTCATTCAAGATCTGGAAATGCTTAAATGCTTCTGACAGCTCTGAGGAGCTTACCAATTTGACACGAGAATCATGAAGGTGGTTCAGCATGAGCCCACTCTGGTTATGTCTCAAGGTCCTCCATTTAAGAAAAAAAAATGAAAGGAAGGTAGAGAAGCACACAAAGTCACTGCTAAACTTCTACCTTGTAAAAGCTTTATGATACAGTTTAATTACATGAGCAAACACAAAGCTAAATGGCTGTCTGCAGCACCACAGAACACTGAGTGATATTGAGAAAACCAAACCACTTAGGCAAGTTTACACAGTAAACAGTAATTCATCCATAGCACAGCCTTATGCAAGATTAGGTAAAACCTGGTAACATAAACCAGCAAGTAAAATAGTTAATGACAGACTTAACTGCTTTTAGGTCTGTATGACCAGTTGAGAAAGAAGAGTGCCTGTAATACAGTACTGTAGACCAGAACAAGACCAGAAGATTCCTGTCCCCAAAACCCCTGTATCAGACACAATCAAAACAAGGTATAACAAAAATTATGAGGAACTATAACCATGGAACTTTCCAGAAAATACATTGTCATAATAATCTGTAAGTATGGTTATGCACCACAGGAAGTAATGGTGCATATGCAGAAAGGGAGAGTCACAACCAAGATTTGACTCAGTTGTGAACTCTCAGTAAAACTTGAATATGGTCACTGTAATGCACTACCAAAAAAACAACCCTGACAATTACACCTCAGCAAAATCAGAGTAAGTGATGACAGCTTATATTACTTTAATTCTGCTTCCTATCAGAAATCTACTGTACCTACAAAGGAACGACACATCTGTCTTGAAGCTGCCGAGTCACAGCTGCTGGGAAAACACTCCCACATGTGCCCACTTTCTTGGCCTTTTCCTTCAGCATCAAATACAGTCCTGTGCTGCAGAGAACAAATACTACATGCAGTCCTTCATATTCAGTGCACCTTTTTCTAAGAAGAGGTCTGGAGTTCACATACAGAACAACCACTTTACCATATGACTGCCTAGAAGAATGAATTTGAAAACTGTATTCCAAGGATATCACTCTCTGAAAATTCGAAGGAAGAAACTGCCAGCAGACCACATGGAAAGCATTCTCTCCAAGAGTGAGAATTCTTCAGATTACTTCTCTCTGCTTCATTGACCTTCCTTCTGTTATTCGCCCAACTCGTACCTGCTGTGCTCATCAGATGCTACTGTTTGCAATGCAGCAGAGATTTTCACACCAAAACCAGTGAAGTACTTCAAGAATCTAGCAAGAAAGGGACTGCAAACATTTATATGTGTAGATGCAATATACAGATTCATACTGGAGCATCCTGAGCAACATAAGCTTGTAAAGCCTCCAGACAGGAGTAAGGCTCCAAATATTGCTTCCTGATGTAGCTACATGCTCATTAAAGGGTGTCTCATGTAAGTAAATTCTGAATTGCCTTCTGTACAGTATCAGCAGGAGGTGATAAAGGCTCCAGGTTAAAACGTCATTCGTTGAATACTCATTTTGCCTTTGCTGCCACATCCAGGTTTACTTAAAAGCACAGCGTTGGTCACATTACTTCTAATGAAACGTGTGGGAATTTTGCCACCAACTTCAGCAGCAACAGAGATGAGCCAGTGCTTCTGACAAAGTAAAAATACCTCCTCCTCCCCACTCCCAAAGCCCAACTTTTAGTTTAGGAACACGCTTTGAAATAGGTAGTCATTTTGTGCATCTTTAAGATCAAAAGCCAGAATAAAATTTAATATTTATTAGAATTTCTTCCAGTAACAGCATTTAACATCTTAACAAACCAAGCTGTGAAGTCTTAAAAAAATCCAGGTTTACAAAAAAAATAAAGGTAAAATAAGTTGTTCTTTATATTTAATGTCAGCAAGTGGAATTTTCTACTTAAAAACAAATTTGTAATATAAACAGAATTATTTTAAGAAAATGTGATTAACATGATGTTACTTTCAGAATGGATACACAGTGTATGAATACCGATCTGAAAAGAACGGGGAGCAGAGTACACGACTGCCTTGGTCAAAACAGGCAGTTTGAAAAAAGGGAAGGGAGGAGGATCTTTCCAGTGAAATAACTTAGATACCACACAATGGACAAAAAATGCAAAAGTACAGAAGACATTACATGACGCCCTCATTACAACACCCCCTCAAGTCTGCTTATACTGTAAATTAAGTCAGTAAAGTGCATCTTTAAAAGACTTGTCTAGTGAAATACCTTTTCCAATTATAAAACACAACACAAGACGTGCAGTAACAGTTAAATCATAGTGTAAGTTTTTAAAAACTAACTTTTCATTCACTAAAGAAGAAAAGTTGTAACTGCAGTAGTGTTCACATTATTCTTCCATAGGATGCATCCTTGTGTGCTTTTGATACTTGGCAAATCCTCAGATATGAAGCATGGCAAAATTATGCAGTTTAAGCAAGTGCTTCTCTCAATGAAATACAACTCTTCAATGGCAGAATGGCCACATGCAGCACAACCACATTAGATTTTGGGAAGCTTTGGTGCACTAACGATGGGATTGGTCTTCTGTAAATACCTTCTCCCTGCACTCTTATAGTCGTAGGTGCAGGTGTGAGTCTCTGCATAGCGGTGAGTTGCACAGAAGTTGTTTCCACATCTGAAGAATCAAGAACATTAGAAGTTACAAGCTTTTAGAAGCTTTTAACTCTGACATGCTGGGAGCCCTTTGGCTTAATCATGTCTTGTTTACTTGACATGATTGCTCAGATTCTAGTCATCTTTGACTGACAACATTAACTGGTAATCAAAATGACATTTTTTGACACTGAATGCTGCAGTTCTGACCCAACATTCTCTTCAGCTGGGAATTTAAGCCATCTCAGCACTCCTGAAATCAGCTAGCAAGAATCACAAACATATAAGTTAAGAATGATGGGCTTTGATCTACTTTATTTCATTTTAAAGATCTTACACAACAGTAGCGGGTAGAATTTAGAGGACAAATCCTTAGAACTAAAATAATGGCATCAGGTCAAAGCCACATAATATATTTCAATTAAAAAATGCCACATCATTGTAACCACTAAAGCAACTATTTAGTTCAGCATGTGATTTCTGCCTGGCATAAAATGAAATTAGTTACTTCCAATTTAGTCAGCTGTAGAGATGATACACAGACAAACTGCAGGGAACACAATCATCACAGGAAGTATGCATATTTGCAGAATCAGCTGCAAATTCAGTGAATTAAAATTAGGATTTTTCCCTTGACAGCTCAACACTTACTGAGGAAAAAAAAAAAAAGGAAATTACATATGTATGTTGTACCTAATCTGAAAAAGTACTTGGAGAACAGCACAGAACCACATAACTCTAGAGGCTGGAAGGGATCTCTAGAGATCATCTAGACTAACCCTCCTGCCAAAGCAGGCTCCCTGGACCAGGCTGCACAAGTAGGCATCCAGGTGGGTCTTGAATGTCTCCAGAGGAGAATTCACAGCCTTTCTGGGCAGCCTGTTCCAGTGCTCTGTTCTCCTTACTGTGAAGAAGTTCTTATGCACATTTATGTGGAACTTCCTATGCTTCAGTTTGTGGCCATTTCCATCCTGCTGCTTGAAGTATTTGATTAAGTTGCTTCTTGACTGTAAAGCAATGACATCATTCAAAAACAGAATGCTCTTTAAAGGGACTGAGCATTACCTGTCTGCATTACCATCCCATTACTGCACTCCTCTGTACCCTCTATCTATCTGGGTTCATAACAAACTCTGCAGCTGTTCCTGAGGCTTTCCTGCCAGGTAACAATTTTGTTCTTGCTTCTGTAATCACCGGTCTGTACTCACTACTAGGTGGTTCCATTCTAGTAAGGGGTCACATGGTTGGCATTGTACAATTTTTCCCCTTTTTCTGAGCTTCATTTTTAACCTTAAGCAAGCTGCTTAGTTATTTCTAGAAGAGCTTCCATCTCTTGACTCAGTAGAAAACTGTCCAACAGCCAAAAGATGTTTCAAAAACCAAAACTGAAGAGTCAGTAAGGAAGCAGTTTCTCTCTGAAACTTCCCATCTGAATTCCCCAGCTGCAGAAGTCCTGCTCATTTAGCTGCTGACATGAACTCCAATCAGCTTCAAACATAGGCCTTAGTGCAGCAGCTTCTAGCCTTTGCTTGTTCATAGCAAATGGTATCAAGAATATCTTGAGGAAAACAACTGAGACCAAAACAGATTTTTTGTTGTTGTTGTTTTTTTAAGTTACTAGTCACCACCACCAAGTCTCATTATGCTGTCAGCAAGCTGTGACCTGCAGGACCAGCACTGCAGCACTCTGCTTTTGAAGCGCTCTAGATGCTCTAAAGCGGCTGAATTTTTACAAGAAATAGTAGACGTGCAAGAATTAAAAAGCTGTCAAAGAAATTCTTAAGCAATCAAACAGTGCAGATATGTTGTAATAGATCTGAGGGAGTTTTTCCTGAAATTGCTCATGGTATAATTATTATGCTCCACAAAGTGTGTTAATAAGTCTGTAGTAACTCCGCATCAGTCTTCTCTATTTCAAGATACCTTGCATTTCTTTAATTTTCCTAGCAGAATCTATTCCTCCACAGCAGAGCACGTATGATATTTCTGAGCTTTCTTTCTTGGAGTTCTGCTGAACTGAGAATTGAAACAACTCTTTCAACTTATTTGAAAATTGCCTTTTGATGTGCCAGGTTTTAGTTAACATCACGCAGCATACAAAACCTTTTGGTTATCCCAGCTATTTAACTTAAACAGCCAGTTACACATCACACCTACCTGCACTCATAGCTGGTTGCCAATCCAGTTTTCTTGCCACAGAGAAAGCAGTGCTTTGAAATTTTCTTTTTTGCTTGAATTGAGCCATTCACAGGTGGAAGATGGGTTACTTCACCTGCTTTCAGAGGTAGAGAGACAGCAAAAACAATTTTATTTATTCCTGACCACAAACAAGTTGAAATTACCTTCCAAAATCCAGATTTATTTTTCATTTCTTAGGATACTTCAAGTGGGACCCTCAAGCCCAAACAGAGTAAGAACACCTTTGGAACACCTTCAGAAGGGATAGTGCAATGCATGACTTTGATACATTATTATTTTTACATCTGTTAAAAATTTATATAAGCAAGAAGTTACAGAAGAAAAATCAGATTTACTAATGCTATTCCCAAATGCAAAATGTAGTGCAACTGGGAAAGCACTACACACAACAGCTTTCTGAAGAATCAGTTGAACATTTAAGTACATAGCATATAGCATATGCTAATAACTCAAGTTTACCAAATAAATATAGCAGCATTTAAAAATCTTGCTGGCACATAAAAACTGCAATAAAAGTGCATGATCAACTACATGTAGCTTCATAAGACACTTTGTGGATGTTCCTTAGACTTCAATACTTAAAAACTCATTTCACTTGCTTCGTAACTGGAAAGCACATAAAGAAAAGTAATCTTTCCTCCTTCTGGAGAAGCAAGCTTTTACTTCTGCGTGCTTACCATACGCTGGGATATAGAAAATGAGCAACACATTCTCTCAAACACATTTCAGCGCCTGCATCACAGTATTATCAGGGTGCTCCCCTGAAAAAAATGACCTAATGAGCTGAGAAGTGGTCTTTCTGAAGTGCACTGCTAATCGTAACAGTTATTTCTCAGCTGAGATACTGTGGTTAAATGCAATAGTTAACATCAGGTCATCACTATACATTGTGGTCCTACCTACCAATCAATGCTATCATCCTACTGTCATCTAAGAACAGAAACTTCCAGGCAATGTTTGTCAATGTCACCCATTTCATTATCTAAAAGCACACTATTCCAGAAGCATCAGTTAGCGTTGTTTGGGAAAGAGAGCTTGAAAACACTCCTCACTGTGAACTGCACATAGACAGAAAAACAGTACATCAGCCCCTACAGCAGCTGTTGTAACACGGAATAACTACATAAAATCATAGCCATAAACAAGAATAGGAATGTCCTTTGGCTAGCTATAGAAGTGATAGTTACCTTTTTCCCAAGGGGATGCATAATATGACACCTACTGTGTCTTTCTCATGTCTGAAACCTTTTGAAAAATACACTTTTGCTTGAGAAAACAAACCAAAGGAGTCTGCTCATCACAACTACATCTGAAAAGGAGTAGATGATAGAAAGGTAGGCTTCCCCATCAAGCAGACTTGTCTTTTTTTGCCATGGAGTATTTATGGACAAACAAATTTATCAGTGCTGACTGTCAATTCAAAGCTACACCCCAGCTGTGACAGAAAGGCACAAGCTTTTGCAGCTTTTGTCCTTACAGCGTTGCATAAATTTTTTTCTGAGGCTATTTTCTAGCTCATTCTCTGTACTGGATCTTAATGTCCTGAAACACATGCTTCCCTCTTTCCCTAAGATCATAAAGAGAGAAGAGAAAGCCTGAAAATTGCAAGTCAAAGGCATGAAGAAAAGTGGATTGTGCTGAGAATCTTCACAAATGCATTAGCTCACTGTCTTCAGTAAAAACTGGAGTAAGTCAGACCTCTTGGAAATGCCGATGGGCCTTAGGCATTTTCCTTGGGCTTCTGGTTTGGCTCTGGGAATTACCAGACCAGCACACCTTCAACACTTCAAAGCAACGTTCTCATTGACTAGGATGGTTTTCCTATCACCAAAACAAAGTCTGCAAGACTTAAAGCCAATACTAATCTGTTGACACTATAAAATGAGCCTAAACAAGGGTTTTCGAAAGATATGGAAGCAAACCACTGTGCTTAGCAGTTTAATATACACACAGTGAGGAGGGAATAAAAGAGAAAACTCAAGATTCACCATGTACGTTAGCTTTTCTTAAATGAATATTTGAACACAGGACAATTATTGTCTTGCCCAAGTGAAGAGGCAGGAGATACATCCCAGTGAATTGTTTTACAGTTTAGGCTCATGATCATTCTTTTACTCTTTTCTTAGCACTCAGCCTGGCTGCTTCAGGCTAGAGACCAACTCACATGGTTTCAGAGCTTTTTAAAAGTGCTCCCCTAGACAAATATACTCCTCCTGAGAGAATTAATTACACCAGATATTCATATTTAGGTTAACAACACCCAATTTCAGTAGATGCCAAGCATTAAGTATGCTGCAGTTATCTAGACTAGAGTAGAAAGATCAATGCTTGTCACAAAAACCAGAGGAAATCAGCGTGGTATCAGTGGTCTTCAGTATCCATGCCCTCCTTGCTCTCCTTTTGCCAAATCTTTTTGGCTTAGGCTGCAGTCCTAAAGACAATTCTACCAATCAAAACAGTCTTTCTAATTCCAGAAGTATTCACAGAACTAGTCTTTCGGAAACTTCAGAGTAGAATATGCAGGACTCATTGAGTACTAATAAAGCTAGGAAAGAGTCACAGTTTTATCTACCCGAGATCAGGATGACATTTGTATAGTAAAGAATTGCTTAAAATATTAAAGGTTACAATACACTTTAGAAGTGTAACACAGCAGAACTTTGAAAAATGTATACTTCACAAAGATACATGATTTCTGTCCTCTAAACACACGAGAAAACAGGAAAAATTAAAGAGTCATCTTCAATTATTATTTAAGTCACATTACTTACCTACTCTTTTCCCTACAGCTGCATTACTTCCATTCATTCCAAGCCCACGCGCAGACTAAAAAAAAAAAATTTCCACAAGGAAATTACTAGCACATGGAAATTAAATGAAAGATTAGGCAGTCTGGTATCAGCTTGTTTGAAACCAGTGTTGTAACAGAGTACCTACAAAAACAGTCCTTCTGTACAAAAAAAAAATAAATCATACAATATACAGCCTTACTCAGAATGACTGACTTGAATTTTAATAGTCTCCCTGTATTTCACAACACACAAAACAACATAGTACACTGGAGATCTGAAGCTAGGAACATATGGTATCACTCACAGGGAGAATTTCGGAGTAAATGCAATTAGTGAGCAGCAGAAATCAGATGACATTTCAAACAGTCATAATTCTATCATTACAATAACTAATAATTTTAGCTGTGAACTAAACAACCAATTACTTCTAGGACCCATTTAGATAAACACACAGCTAAGATACAAAAAGGAATTTAGAAAATAGATGCAGACAGAAACACAAGGTAAGAGCTTTCATAATGCCACCACCTGAAAGACAGGAGAAGCCCAATTTCTTTGGAAGTATTATTACTCACTAGGATATATTCAGCAGCTTCATTTGGAGGAGCAGTTTTCCTAAAGCTTTCTTCATGAAAATTCTGAAGGTTTGTAGGTAGTGCAATACCAGAAGTCCGAAACCTCCCAGTCCCATAAGAACTCTGTGAACTTTCCCTGCTTGCACTTCGGGCCAGCGAAGCTAGAAATCCTAAGTTATTTACAGAACTCACAGGTTCTTTGGATGCCTTGTTAGCCACATCTGCAATGCCTCTGGCTTCTGCTTTAGCAATTATATCAGGTCTTTTGCTAAGCGAATCTAGTTTCATGCTATGAAATCTAGCAGTCCTAGAAAAAGAGGAATCTGCTATACTACGGACTTCCAAGGATCGGAGTGTGTCTGGTGAGGTTGTAGTTCTCAAGTTACAAGACTCAAAGCATTTGGGTTGTGTTTGTGGTTTCAAAGAACTGTGATGTGCCACTTGCGATGAATACCAAAGAGGTGACAAAAGCATACTTTTTTGAGGACTTAATTGACGAGTACTGAGAAGTCCAGTTCCCATCGCTGCAGTGCTCAGTATTTTACTTATAGGTTTTTTGTGCTGTTCTATAACCTTAGGTTCTTCATCTCCATTAGCCAGTTCAAGTTCCGAGTTCCCCTTTCCTGTCTCATGTATCTCACTACACTGTTCAGTGGTGTTTGCTTCTGTAAACAACGCGAAAGTATCTGTTTCAGACAGAAGTTTTTCCTCTGTTCCACACAGTTCTACATTTGTTAGATTTGGATACAAAACAGAATCTTCCTCTGTTGCTGAAGTCACATTTTCAGACGCTTTTTCCAAATTTGCAGACAGAGATGAAACAGGAGGCAAAATACTATTTGTAGGTACTTTTGCATTTTCTAGTTCAACACGAGATATTTTGGGTGGTAACCTGATGCTACCAACTGACTGAGACCAAGAATTGCTCTGCCAAGTGTTGTCTTCCTTAAGAAAGTCATTAGCTGAGGATGGCATTGTTCTACCAGTCGTGGCCAAAGAAGCCAGTGCTGTAAGTGCATTTTGAGAAGACTCTGAAGGATATGCATTCCCAGAAGGAGGTAGGCAGGACTGTCCAATATGAGGGAGCACTCTTAAAAACCGGTGGCGAGCAGCAGCCGCCGAGCCACTGGATGGTCGAGGAGCTGTTGGAGGACGAGGTTTCACCTTGACAGTCTTTTTGGGCTATTGGAAAAAAAACAAACAAGCAAAAAACAAAACCAACAACAGTTAGTGTTTGAATTATGGAGGCAATCAGAGACCTGGCTGAGATCATATTCTGAGGAATTCTGACAGTAGCAAAAGGCCAGAAAACACTCATCCTATCATTCACGCTACTCTCTCACCTGCTACTAACTACCTAGACTACATACCAACATCAGAATAGCAAGATCAAAAATTATAATCGGAAAAGGCCATGTCAGAGGAATAAGAAAAGGGAAGCCAGAATGCCAATTAAGTTATCCAGAAGAATACAGTCTAAGACAAAAAAAAAAAAAAAAAAAAAAAAAAGGTATGTCTTCATTTTACATCTAGGGAACTAATTAATAATTTTAAATAATTTTACTAATCCAGATCTCCTGAATACCAGCCTAATGTTTTAATTGGTTGGCAATCTTGTTCTCCTATTTAACTCTACAGGACTCTTAGTTACACTAATTCTTGTACAGAATTAGAAATATGTTTTATTTAAGATAAACACGGCTCATTCTCTACTGTAAGAGTGCTGGAAAACGACATTACTTAAAGGATCAGAAGAAAAACAAAACAACCACCACAAAAATAACACAAATACATCAAGGACAAGCAGTGAATTCCTCGAATACTGAAAGGTAGATCCAAGGGAAGTCAATGCCCCAGGGAAGAACATTCACGTGTCACTGTTCCTTTTAAACAACGGATAATAAATCATACACCCTTTATCGCTCTACTTCCCGAGACAGCAAAGTATCTGCTTTTCTAAAAAGCCCGTGCAAACCATTTGATCAGAGAAGAATTTAAATCACACTTTCACCTTTTTACTTAGATTCATGTTTTCCATCTTCGCCTTGAGCAGTTTCATTTTATTCATAGTAATTGAATTTTCAATAATCTGTTGGCCAGAAGGTGATGCCTCTGCCTCATCTTCATCATCAGCATATAAGTTATAAACTGAACCACCACTGAAAATAATAAAAGAAACTTTGTTTTTACCTCTAACCAACTTAATTGTGTTTTCAATGTATTCTCACAACTAGAAAGTCAAATCCGCAGTTGATCTGTTGACAAAGCATTATGAAAAACTATGCAAAGACATTTCAAATCCATTATTTTAGAACATAAGCATTCCTTATTAGAGTGCTCACAAAAATGATGACGCTGAAACCAGTACACAGTCCCACTTCTGGGAAGTTGTTATACCATATACAGTTGGTTCACACTCACTATATATTTTTCCCCACAGAAGGAATATCCAGTTCCACAAGTGCCTCCTGAAGGTATGGCCAAAGCTGTTAACAGTGTGACTCAGACAACAAGCTGGTCAGTTTTCCAATTAATCAGACACTGGCATGGAAGGAAAGTCCAAATTTCTATCCATCCTGAGGGGTGTTCTCACCATAAATGGAAATGGAGGGGTCACCCATGTGGATGTGATATTCTATTTCTCCTTTTCAAAATAAAAAAAAAATAAAAAAGGATCAGTTTAGGTTTCTAAAGAGTCTCACATTCGGAAAAGAAATACAGATTAGAATTGCTAGAGCTAAGACAAGATAGTTTAATTCAGTAGTCACTGGCAGTTCACACTGTATTTTTCCAACTTGTATCCCAATAGAATGCAAAAACTCAACATCTTAAGATCAGAATCTGACTTTTTTTCCTAGGAAGCATCAGTCACTAACATGTATCCAACATTGACAGACAAATAAAAGAATCATATGAGTGTCCATTCAATTACAAATCGACACCTTTTCAATCTCATACATAATACTTTTTAAAGAGTGTTTTAATTCTTCCATTAGGCTGCTATCGTCTAGAAACTGGGACAATCTGGTGATTCCCTGTGTTCAGAAGAATGTTTTACTCTATCAAACAAAAATTTCTTCTCTCCAAAAGAGACCAAGGAACAACTCAAGGTGATGGGCAAGTCAGTACCAAAACTCAGTACCAGAGCTCAGTACCAAAGCTGGCACCTTTACTAAATTTAGATTTGCATGAATCAGAAAAGAGACAGTGTTTTTGTACTGACCTTCCCAATCCTTTTCCTAAAACGTAGCAAAATTCACAAAGTAACACAGCTGGGAGACAAACTTTTAAAAGCAGATTCAAAACAAGTCAGAAGAATAGTCCAGTCATTTCTTACCGAACTCTGAACAGCTCTGTACAGGGACGGTCGGCACACACATTACATACCTCTCCTGGTAAAGATTCAACACTACACAATCATCTCAGAATTTTAAATCTGCAAAGATTTAAGTCATCAACTTAAAGCCATTCTCAGAACTTCTCCTCCTTCAAGGTAAGAATAGAAAGAAGAGGGATGTAATGGTCCCATGCTTCACTTTCCCCCTCTATGTAAAAAGAATTGTTTTTGTTTTCTTTCATTTTCTGACTAAATAGAGACAAAAACAACACCAAAAAAGAACTAAGGAGTTTTTCCTTTAATGGAAACATAAAGTTATAAAAGTGGGATGGGGAGATTTGTCCTTCATTATACTTCGAGCCCATTTCAACTCACTTTCTCCACTGGTGTAAATATTCTTGAGATTTTGCTTACAAAACGTCTGCTTCAAAGATGATCAGTATATTGTCAAAACACTGCCAGCACATCTTCACAACTTCAAGCACTTTCTTTTAATCCAGAGACAACTACCACTGTGCTTATACTTTGACAAGCTTTAACAATTAAAAGAAAGTAAAGTACAACAATCTGGAGAGCAATTAAACAAAACCTAAAACAACATCTAATTTCTAAACCGCAGTCACCAAATACTCATATGTGAGAAATGTGACCTTGGTTTCATTCAATAAACAGTGAAAAGAATAGCTAACTAAAACTATGCAAACCTTAGCCTTGGAGAAAATGCAGCCAGTCCCTACAATAGTACAGTTGTTTTTTTTTTGTTTTTTTTTTTAAATCAAATGTACAAATATTACATTTCTCAGGGGATTAGAAAACCTACCTCAAAGCTCCAGTAAAGACAATGTAATATTTTTTCCAATATATTTTATCTATTTTGATAGTATCAGAAAAAGAATCAGACCAGCAGTCTGTTTACTATAAAACAGTAGCTTAAGCGATAAACTTAACTCCTTTGTTAATATCAGTACTTTGATTCTAAGATAAGTTTGGTGTTTCAACAGCAGCTAAACCAAGGTGAAGTTATATTCAAAGATCAGCTCTAGTAATAATTATTTCAGTATTTTTTTCCTAAAAAGAATGAAAAAAAATAAAAATAAAAAAGTTTCCCTAAAACTTTAGGCAAACTCTATACATTAGTAATCATTTATCTTCCTGCCTAATGGCTTGCATAAATCATTTCTATATAGAAGATTTACACTGATGACAAATTTTTATAAAACTAAACAAATGCCTTTAAGCGTAAAAGAAAAATTGTAATAACGTTTTTTTGTTTTTTTTAATTAATGGAAGCTTTTCATGCCCTTATTGCTAGGTTGACTCTGTCTTGTATGAAACTGCCTTTGAGAAAGGGGGCTGAAATGTCGAGAACTGCCTGAAGTACAAGGTCAGCATTAACTCACTCTTCTGACACACAGAAATAGACAATAGTCAGCATGATCATTGACCACAGAGCCTACTGTGTAGTCAGGTCAACCACTCAGAGCCCTTTGTGCACAATTATTCCAATACTCCAGATATTCTTTTGACAAATAAAACTGAAAATAACATTATTCTTCAAGATGGGGATGCCATATCAAGATTAAAACCAACTTTACCTCAAAGATTCAGACAATGGAGTTAAAGTACCATCTCCTCGGTCTACTACACGGAAGAAATTCAAGTGATCTCCTTCTCGATATACTAAGAAGGTAACTTGTTTGTTAGATGGCCCTTTCTCCCAGATCTCATCTCTGCTGGGATCCATGTATTCAGCTATTTCCCTTATAGGATCTTCTACAGGAACTATGAAGGGAAAAAAAACCCAGAATAAAACCAAATGATTTCAACTTCTACCAATCATACTGTATTTTCAGACCAGGCCTAAATACAACTATGTGACAATACAGAAGCTTTTTCCAGCATGTCCGTCCACTGGAAAACACCACCAATCAAAGATTCAACTTGAAACGGTCTCTTTCAAACTCTCTTGCTGTTCTGCAAGCAGCACTCTACAGATTCAAGTCATACGCTTAAATATGCTAGATTTACAACATTACATTTCAGTGAATTCTTTATTAGCAAGCAAAGTCTAAGAAACAACAACAATTTCTTTGGAAATAAACTAGCTGAGGTGTTAACTGCGATATTTCTACTGTTTAAATAATCCATCCTCTGAAAACCTGTTTGTTCACTAATCATAATTTAAAATCCATTCCAGGTACTCTTTAGAGTTTAGGTACTCTAAACTGTTCCACTCTCAGATTTTCTGACCAAAAGGAAAAAAAAGTCAACCACTAAAAATAACTTTTAAATGTTTAAGAGGTGAGCCTACTTCAGAGTAGGAAGAATGGGTCCAAAATAAAGTTACTGAACTTTTTTTTTAATTTTTTTTAAACAGCTTCAATTTTGGTAATTCTGTCACTACAGAATAGGAAGAAAAATGTAGTTAGTTCAACTTTACATGGTAAAAAGTAATACTCTAGCTATGTTTCTTTCATTAAGGCAGCAGATCCCTGGATTTTTTTACTAAGAGCACTCAGTACTGCAATCCGGAGATCCTTCAGGAGGAACAGCTGAATGTTTACAGAAAACTTGTCATCTGGCAGCAGCTGACAGTTGGGTGATTCAAGCTATGACAATCCGGTCTCCAAAGGTACTGAGTTCTCTTAAAACAAAGACTAATCATAGTTCTCCTACAGTAATACAACCAAAAATGTTAATTCAGTCAAGTTCACAATGCAAATACACCTTGTTTTACAAAAAGTATCTCTGGTAAACTACACTTAGAGTAGCATTACAACTGAGGCTTCATTACATTAAAGCACTCAAATACTAGGCGCAGTGTCTTCATTACCTCTTAGAGCTCAGTTCAGTTTACAATTGGAATCCCCACCATAAAAGACATGCTGAGTGTTTTCCCAGTGAAAATTATTAAAGGGATTTCTCCACTTTCAGTTTTCATTGCTCTATGGATGATGCACATAACCAACAGTAAAGCAACATCCATTTCTTCTTAAACAGTGACATTACAGTAGTGTTGCCTTCTTCCCTGAAGAAGTACTGACTGTAAGACTTGATGATGCTGTACAAAGATGCTCCTTAAACTAAGGGCAAACAAAATTAAGAGATGATGCAATTGTTACACTAAGAAAAAAAAAACAGAGGGATATTTTTACCAAGTATTTCCCAATTAACTGGGAACTGAAGTCTGCTTGCCTGAAATAGTTGAGTAGCTGTTCAGTTTTAACTTGCTACATGAAACCATTAGTTTTTAACAAAGTTAGCACCTACCTCTCCTAGTGTTAATAGGTCCACCTCGCATAGCCAGAACTAACTTCAGAGTGCAGCCTTCTGAAATGCTGTAAATAACAATAATTTTTGTAACATTCTCTATTGTCTATATTAATAATCATTTAGAAACATTCATTGCAATTTTATTCTATACTTACTTATAATCATTCAAACAATAGTCATCTTTGAGTTCCACATTATTCCAAATTAAGTGCTGCTGAGAGATGGGAATACCTAAGGGGAGAAAAAATAAGATTAAAAATTGATGAGAGGGCTTTGGAAGAGTTTTGCTTTTGAAGAATGTGGGTGTACAAGGATAAGAGATAAGAAAGGAGATCACAAGAGAAGCAAGCAGGACAAGGACAGACACTTGAGCAACTCCCAGTCATGATATCCAACCTTCTGAACAGTTATTATGACTGAAGGTGATCTTTTCAGTAGGCCTGTACTCACACAAGGAGTTCAACCTCTTGGCTCAGAGTTGTGATTAATGGTTCTGTGTCAGGATGGAGGGCGGTCACAAAGCAGTGTCCCTCAGGGGGCAGTCTTGGGACCGGTGCTCTTCAACATCTCCTTCAATGACACAGACAATGGCATCGAGTGTAACCTCAGTAAGTTTGCAGATGACACCAAGCTGAGCAGTGCAGTTGATACACTGGAAGGAAGGCAAGCCATCCAGAGGGACCTGGACAGGCTGGAGAAGTGGACCCATGAAAACCTAATGAGGTTCAATAAGGCCAAATGCAGGGTGCTGCACTTGGGTCGAGGCAATCCCAGGTATTTATAAAAACTGGGGGAAGATCTCCTTGAGAACAGCCCTGCAGAGAAGGATCTGCAGGTCACGGTGGATGAGAAGTTGGGCATGAGCCAGCAGTATGTGCTTGCAGCCCAGAAGGCCAACTGTGTTCTGGGCTGCATTAAAAAAGAGGTGGCCAGCAGGGAGAGGAAGGTGATTGTCCCCCTCTACTCAGCTCTTGTGAGGCACCATCTGCAGTACTGCATCCAGGCCTGGGGCCCCCAGTACAGGAATGATGTGTAGCTGTTGGAGTGGGTCCAAAGGAGAGACACTAAGAGGATCAGAGGGCAGGAGCACCTCTCCTATCAGGAAAGGTTGAGGGAACTGGGATTGTCTGGCTTGGAGAAGGCTCAGGGGGAGACCTCACTGTGGCCCTCCAGTACTTGAAGGGAGCACATAAACAGGAGGGGGAACGGCTATTTATGAGGGTGGACAGTGATAGGACAAGGTGGAATTTTAAATTGAGACAGGGGAGGTTTAGGTTAGATATTAGGAGGAAGTTTTTCCACACAGAGGGTAGTGATGCTCTGGAACAGGTTGCCCAAGGAGATTGTGGATGCCCCATCCCTGGAGGCATTCAAGGCCAGGCTGGATGTGGCTCTGGGCAGCCTGGTCTGGTGGTTGGTGACCCTGCACATAGCAGGGGGTTGAAAGTAGGTGATCATTGTGGTCCTTTTCAACCCAGGCCATTCTACGATTCTATGATTCAATAGGTCTGTGGAGGCATTCAGTTGCTTCAGACATTGTAGAATACATGCTCTTTACTTGTCACCAGTTGAAGGAGGGTTGTTTTTTTCCCCTCTTATCTGCACCCCAGAGCTTTCTGTCCACTGACATGAAAAACAAGATAAAACTAACTACAGAGGTACTGAATTATTTATTACAGATAAATTCTGTGATATTCTGTGTCACTCACAGCTAAGACAAGGTTGCATTAGAGTAACTGGTAACAGCTCTGTTACAGTGCTAACAACTATAAATATGTTTTATTGTCACTTGATATGGAAACCAGAAGCTCATATATACAAAGAAATTCCTCCTACAAATTTTTACCTTCTGTAGATGTTCTTCTAAACCATGCTTCAATACTATTGTCTAGTAACACTCATTTTCAAGTCAAGTTCTGGGACAGATTTGGTACTGCTTTTTTGTTAAAAAAAATAACGAACAACTACTTGACATGCTTACTTAACAGTCAGTCTACATGAAGATCACCTTTGTTTCTTTTTGCCTGTACAACCAATTCATTTAGATATAGGCATGATACACACTGAAGAGAGTTAGCATAAGCTGGTACAACCTGAGGTCTTCACACATTTCTATTAGAATGCTGCCTCTTTCCAACTTTTGGATAGTACAAGCCAGGACAGTTAAGAGAGGAGGACACACATCTGGCCACCAGAAACATTAAGGCTACTGGGGAGGTGAACAGCTTTCTTGAATGCCTTTGAAAATAAATAAGTAAGTAATCTTTCCATAAGCATCAAAAGGAAGTACTTCTGCTGCATGTATCTGGTGAAATCGGTATTTAAGATTCCACTGTGCACTCCTGAAAAAATGTGATTAAAAGGAAGGCCAAGAACTACTTGTTGAAAAAGGTCTAAACACTATTCTTTAGGTTAGGAAGCAACACCTACAAATATATTCTCCAAAAGATTGAAGCAACCTTATCACGTACTTTAATTCTTGGTCACTTTAGTGTCAGATTGTGTCATTTGTAGCTCATTTACATTCTCAGATATTTAAAAGGAGGTGTAAGTGGCTATACCACACAGACTTCTACAAAAAACAAAAAATACATCTGGTGAGAGGGGAATGCAAGGATCAGAGTTTTTCAGTTGTTTTGGCACTAGCACTCAGCTTCTCAAGGCTGGTGACAGTGCTTGGGAAGTTGGGCAGAAAGTAAGTTAAGCAGCCACTTCCTAAGCTGGAGAAAGGGCATGAAGCCACAAACACCCATCAACAGCAAAGAGGAAAAAGGGGTCAAATTCTGACAAAAGCCCAAGCAGATTCAACAAGCTAAGCAGACACTCCCATGTAGAAGACATTGCATTTTGGTGGACCTATCGTCGTCTTTTTTTAATGCTTCAGAGAAGATGACAATTTGCTTCTCCCACTACAGCTAACATTTTATTTTATGAATGACCAACACAACTCTGCACTTGGAAGGTAGTCAGAACAAGTCTTGTATTTTCTGAAGTACACAAGCCGTTTATGAGACCAGATGCCTTCATATAGTAGACCAACATAATAGCTATTATCCTGCCAGCTATTTAATAACTGACTACTGGTTAAGTTTCAAGTCTGCAGCACAAGCAAAATGAGAATGAGCCAGCAAGAGCCAGCAAGTCTGCAGTAAAGTCCTTTTCTTTGTTTTGCAGTCTCCTGATCACAAACAGTCATTACGGTCTGCATTTGTTATGGTTTCAGCAGCCTCCAAGGAGCAATTTCCAATTACTCTGATAAACCAAGAGAGTGTTTGTTAAAAAGGCTGGCTTGCAACTGGCAGTTCTGCTGTGAAACATGTTTTTGTTCATCTAACAATGACAATGTATTTTTGATTAAATGAACAGATGAAAACCCCATACTCCGGTATAATGGGAAACAGACGGGACCGGTATTTATTATTAAGTCCCTTTCATGCTGCTTTCTAAGAATTTCTGTTATGTATACACAATTTAAATGCTAAATGGTTTATAGTTTTACGTGCAAGAAGTTAGGCATCAGCCGACAGTGGATGCCCCATCTCTGGATAAATTCAAGACCAGGCTGGATGTGGCTCTGGGCAGCCTGGTCTAGTGGTTGGTGACCCTGCACACAGCAGGGGGGTTGAAACTAGATGATCTCTATGGTCCTTTTCAATCCTGGGCTTTCTATAATTCTATGATTATAGCAAATCTTAAAAAGACATCTGCATGTGGGTTCAGTACATAGAATTGGCAACAATACAGAGAATGACGAGATACTCATCTACTATCCCCTTCTCAAGTAGCACATGACTGCATCACTGCTCACTGTAAGTTAGTACTCGAAAGAGAGGAAAATAGGGCAATGAGCAAAAGCTCAGTGCTCAAAAGCAAGTGGGCAAGCCAGGTGATGCTGTAGGAAGACAGAAGTTTCTTCAGATTGTATACACATCTGTAACCATTCAGTAGGCAAAACAACCTATTAAAATGGTGACAATGGGGGCACAGAAAAGGGAAGGAGGGATTCAATGCTGCCTCTGAATCAGCCATTCAAGACACACTCTCACAGTTTGCTTCTTTACTCTTTCTGGCACAGAAAGCAGGCTCAAAAAACTGATGTGGTTTGACCCTAAAAAAGCCCTATGGATTTTAAAGCAACCTTTATTTTATGTTGTAGGTAGGAGTTACTACGTTTAGGAAGACAAATATTTGAAATTCAACATTCAAATGCAATGTACTTGTCTTTCATCCCATGTTGAAATTGCTGCAGAGCTCCTCAAAATATTTACTTTTTATTCCTACTTAGAGAGGCTGGGCTGACAGCCTCCATTTTGCCCTCTGAACTGCCTACATTAGGGAAGAGCTGCAAAGGTTCACACCAACTTACAGCACCAGGTGGTATTTCCATAACCAGTAAAGTTACCAGCCTTCATTTATATGATAGTAGCCCACATTACTGTACATAGTTTCATGTATTATCTACAACTCTTTTACAGAGCAAAGAACTAATTACTACAAAGAGCACACCATCTGAATGTTCCTTCTATAAAATTAAAGATGTGGTTCTGAGTGAACAATACTAAACATCGCCCAGCCCAGCAGCCACAAAGACTTGTGCAAGAAGAGATCACCCAATGGAGTGACCAATGTTTATCATTTAAAAATAAATGCTAGTAGCTCTTTTGGTGAAATTCTGCTAATTTTAAGCACCGTTAATATGTTAAACCTCATCCTTCCATGTCATCTTGAAACTCAAGTACTGTGCTACCCCTGACCATCAACACGTGGTCCAGCTTTAAGATCAAAACATCTACTAGTAAACCAAAGGGACAACCCCACACACAGCTGCTGGCTGAGAGTATTCTGGCTTTTATGCCACCAGCAGAGACAAAGGGAGCTAATTCTCCTCCAGCATAACACTTAAGAAGGCTCCTTCAGTGAATTCAATGCTAGAAATAATTTATCTGAAGTGGATCCAAAGCCACTATTAGAACAAATCGAAGTTTTGATAGCAAATGCTTGCTTTACATGGGACATGTTTCAGACACATGTCTGGACCTGATCCAAAAACACAGCTCACTCCAATTTACGAGCTGATGCGCACAGAAATTTTAGATGTGCTAGAATCCATTAATGCAGTTTAACCCACATTCACTGATTAAAGCTAGGTGGAATGAGAGAGCTGAGATCCAGAGCTCTTTTCAGTAGGTTACCAACATCTACTGCAGCTGTCTAAACAAACCCTTTATACATCAGCTCACTAAAGAGGTACCAAGATGACAAACAGTATCAGAAGTATTTCAAAATTCCTTAAGTGTCATCCATACTATCCCTTCTTATTACAGTGGAGAGCTACAGACAGTATAATTTTTGACAGATTTATTGGCTTAGTTTTTCACTATTGGCCTCTTAGAACTAGAGGAGCTGATGACAATTTCCCAAATCTGTTAAATTCTTATATGATTCTGTATTTTGTACATAGTGATGTCAAGTAGCAAAACAAATCATTTTTCCAAATTTTACTTTTGTATGATTATGTACCATCATCCTCAACACATACATCAGCCTACAGAGACAACACACACTCTGAGGGACCCGTGGAGTCTTGTAGCTGCGTAGGACCATTCTCCAGACACATATGCAGCTTAACAAGGAGAGGTTCACATTCCATGGAAGCTGAAACAATACAATAATAAAAAACAAAAAATAGCTGAAAAAAAAAAAAAAAAAAAAAAAAAAGAAAGCAGCTTTCTGCTTCCCATGCTGGACCATAACCACAAAATTACTTCACAATTCTCCCTTCACCTGAGTGATTCATTGCTTGAACTTCTGCTCTACAACAGAAACTTCATTGCTGAAAAGTTGTTTTCTGCTTTTGTTTGTTTTTTGCTTTCCAAAACATACAACAGTAGTCTTGGCTGCAGCACAAAACTGATTTGTCATTGTGTCTGTCCCCTATACACTTATATACATAACCAGTTTCCTCTGCCCCCTCTGTAACTCATATTGATTAGCAAGTTACAGATCTTTTAACTATGTTCTGGGGTACTAAAGTATTTGATTGTAAGAACCAAATTATTAATAATTAAATGAATACAGCAAGCACCTAAATCATTAATTTATTGTCATAGAACGTACAACATAAAAGACATTTCTGGTAAGCACTGCACTCTTCTTATAAGAAATGACGACACTGAAGTTGGGCAGCCTACAACCAGCTGTAGATACAATTCAGTGTGCCAAGCTGCAGTCTCCTGTTTTGGACAAAAAATTCAAATTCTTCTTTCTCAAATTTTCCACTGGTCTCTTCATGCATCCTTTAAAGTTCTTGCTTTCATCTGTACTGTCTCAACAGTCTGCCTTCTTATCTGCTCACACCTTTTGTACCACTATAATCAACCAAAGAAGTTAAAAAAAAAAATAAAATAAAATATCATTTTCATGTTTCACCTCTAGCCTCCAGAAGCAACTCAACATGTTCCCTGACTCATGTTTAATTAAGGCTCCAGTACAGGCAACAAAACGATGTCCACACAGCTACACTAATTCAGCTATGCTGATACAAATCTCTAGTTACATACATGGTAGAGCTTCTTTTATATAACCCTATTAGCTAAAAGTCACTCTTATTGCCATGACCTCCCTAGTCAAAAGTCACCCTTATTGTTGCAATGCTTCTGCTTCAGTTCATTAGCATGGATTTCCATAAAGGGATAAGAATATCCTTCAAATCAAGCATCATATTACATCTCACAAGTGGGTTACATGCAGACAGAAGGATGAAAAACGTAGACAGGTATACAGGAGAAAGAAGATCCCTTGTCTTGAAATTAGAAACTGCTGTACTGTCAGCTTATGCAGCTACACAGTTCTGTAAGGACTATGAAGTGTAAGCATGCAATAGTGCAAAGCAGCACGAGTATTGATACAGAGGTATTCTGAATCACATTCTTCCATGCAGAAATGGGAGACAATTGACCCACCACATTTTCTCCTTCCATTAGGATCACGTCAACCTCATAAATTAAAGGCAACTTTAATTGAGACACGTGCAGAGTTCATCACATTGCAAAGCAGCATCTGAGCCAGACTCAGCCACCACCACAATATCTCTCATCTACTCAGAACTCCCACCAGCAGCCTCACACTGTCCTTGCAGCTGGCCTGCACATCAGTTATCCTTTAGACTATGGTATCAGACAAATGGAACTACCATAACCCAACCAACCTAAGAGACAACAGCTGCAGCACCCAGACTGAAGCGAGCTCAGAGCTGCAACACAGATGTACTGCATGACTCCTGACAGCCCCTGCTTTGAGAGCTCTCGCTGACTAACAAGGGAGTTCTATGTCAGACAATATGCTGAACACCAAACCATGCAATTAAGAGAATTAGTGATTTGCCACAGAAGTCTTACAAATCATCGCTGATACACATTAGAAAAAAGAATAAGAAAAAACCCATTCCAGGGAAAACTACAATGTGAACTGATAGGAAAATTAAAGAAAAAACAACTCTAAAACCCAACCTACAAGTTGAACATCTAGCTTACATGTACAACTGAACAGATAACGTGTAAAACAAGACTTCCTCTGAGGCGATGGAGATGAAGCTGAAACAAAAGAGAACGGTACCTTCCAGCCTCTGAATCTTTGCTTTGACGGAAATCACAGTTTCAAAGGGCGAAACGCGCAGCTCGAAGCACGTCCCTGTGAGCGTTTCAATGAAGAGCTCCATGGTTTCATAAAAGGGGAGTTTGTAGTGAAACGGCTCCATGTTATCCTCATTGAAGAAAGGAGGCTCCTTCTTGTTGGCCATGACAAAGGACTCACAGCTCGGTAGGAAGCTCTGCCAGAAAGCCGCGTCCTGCTCCCAGTCCTGGGGACAGGCGTGGTGTATCGCTGCTCATGTTGGGAACGGCCGCCTATAAAGCAAACAAACACAGCCTAACAACGTCTGGGCACAGCCGTTCCCATTTATTCCAGAAGGAAAATAAAACAGCAGATAAGAGCTGGGAAATTAACATCTAGGTCGTGCAGGGAACCGCACCGGCTCCGGGACTCCGACCTCACGCAACATTTCAAGATCTTTTGCTACCCGCTCATTTACGATTTCTCTCCCGACCGCATGGGCTGGGCTCAGCGCTGGGGGAACCGCGGCACCCGTCCGGGTCCGGAGGCCCCGCGGAGGGCGGGGGAGCGTGGCTCTCGCAGACAAAGGATAGGGAGCAGCTGCCCGCCGCCTCCCTCGCGCCTCAGGGCGGCCTCACCCCGCCCGCCCCCGGAGGACACCTACTCCCTTTCACCGCAACGCTCCGGGGGACCGGAAGAAGGAAGGCGGAAGAGTGGCACCAGCGCAGCGGAGACGGAGAGCAGGGTGCCAACGTACCTGCCGCCGCCTGGCCCGCCCGGGGGCTACGGGGAGACAGGAGGAGGCGAGGCGAGGCGAGGCGCGGCCTCCTCCGCCCGGCGTGTCCCGTACAGCGGGGGGAGGAGCAGCCGGCGGCGGGTGGGGACAGTGAAGACGCACCGCACCGCCGACTCACCGCACCGCCGCTCACACCCCGACAGCCTCCGCGCCTACCTCGCCTTTATGACATCCCCGGCGGGAGTTCTGCCGCGGGCCAATGAGGCGGCCGGGCTCGATGGCTCGGCCAATCGGCTCTCTCAGGGGCGGGGCTCGCAGCACCGTCAGGGCTGGTGCCACTTGTTGTGGTCGTTAAGACGCGAAGCGGCGGAGCGTGCGTGGAAGGACCCGGATGCAGCGCTCCGTCGGCGGCAGCGGTGTGCACGTCACAGGCGGGGGCGCAGGGGCTCATGGGACACGCAGTCCCTCGGCTATGCCCCGGGCGAGGTGCGACGGAGGGTTTTTCCTCTGCTGACTTTTCACATAATAAAAAAAGCTTTTTTTGTTCTGTTTCATTTAGAACCGTTTGAATTGGAAGGAATCCCTTAAAGACCATCTGATCCAACTCCCTACAACAACCAGGGCTACCTGCAGCTCCATCAAGTGCTCACAGCCCTGTCCAGTCTGTCTCTAAGGAGGGGCACCCAGCACTTCTCTGGGCAACCTGTTTCTTACCCCCCTTACTGTAAAAAGCTTCCTTCTTCCTTACATCCAGTGTAAATCTCACCAGCAGCACTGTTCAATGCCAACTAACTGAAGATACCAAGGCGAAAAAAAAAAGAAATGAAATAGAAGCACTCATCCTTTCTCCCCTTCTCCCCAGCCTGTCTGTGAATCCTTCCTCAGCAAGAAAGAAAGGAGCTCATAAGCACTCCAACCCTATGTATGAGGCACAAGCGGCAGATGCACAGCCTATGAGTAACAGGCAGACACTTTCCTTGCAGCTACCATTTGTGTGCATCTTCAACATTCTACTTCTGCTCAATGCCTGTCAGCACCAGGGCTGCCTATGGTGCATGCCTATGTGGGTGTTCCTCCATGAGAAGGGAGCTAAGAGGTGAGCCAAGCCTCTTTGAGGCCCTGCACTAAGGACTGCATGAAGGCCTGCCAGCTTTTGGAAGCAACCAAGCACAGTCAGTGCAGATGGACTTCCTTTAGCAAATCCAGGCAGGTGAAAAACTCATTTGGAGGCTTACAACTTGAACAGAAGATAATGTTCGGGCTCTGCTGATCTTCTGTAACACACTCTGGCAGAGAAGTTTTAACCATTGTTGTTTTTACAGATTGCATTAGCTGCCAACATGAAATAACCAGTCTCCCTCTGCTTTCAATCCCTGCACTCAGATTTAAGTGCAGGATTACATAAGAGGAGCTGTACCTGATAACAGAACCCAGTCTGGCACTAGCATTAGCTCGAGATTGACAACTTATCCAGAGAAAGCATGGCAGTGATTTTGATTATCTTCTAGTCACGATGCAGATACCCTTCACAAGTGGCAAAAATAAAAAAAAAAAAAAAAAAAGACATACAAACATCTCATTTAACAGACTCAGTTTACTATTTAACAATATCAAGGATTCTCTCCATAGATCTGTTCAATAAAACAAACTATACTTTGTATAATAGATAACTTCATTGAAGGTATTGCACAGGCTATATTCATCTGGCCATCATGGAAAAAAATAGCAGGAGGTTACTGTCCTCTTTAAATGTATCATTAAGCACAATTAGATCCAGCACAAGAGCATACTAACCATTTAAAATGAGTAATCTGTCATTTAAATATCCACAGCCATCTCATTTCAGGTCTACTGGATTAGGGAATCCAGAGTGTTAGTACTGGACAGGGCTCAGGAAAAGCCTCCTCTCTGCAACACACTCCTGTTGGCTACTGGCCTCCAAAGGCATTCAGTGGGTCATCAAATGTGTTCAGTGCCTTGCTTTCAGATTTCACTTCCGAGGCTGCCTGGGAAGATCTGCTTTTGGGAGTGGGTATCTTGATCTGGCTGCCAGAGAATATATCATCTAGATATGGGAAAAGAAAAAAAAGAAAGATAGATAGCTTTAATAGGAATTGACTGCTAAACAGAAGTATTATTGTACAGAAAATCCCCAGCACACCACAGCGACTGCCAAGGACATTCTGTTATAAACAAGTGCTTTTCTGCTGCAATTCTACTTGGATTTGTTAAGGACATACGTGGGAGCTGCTAGCTGCAAATCAAATCAAGAATAGGTTTTTTCTCCATAAAGCTGAATAATACTTATATTTTATACCATATTCAAGCTCTCAAAAGCATTTGACAAGCATTAATAAGTTAAATGTCTGCAATAAATTTCATCTTGCAATTTCCAGAAGACAACCTCCTGCTTCTCTAGAACATTAGCATTCAAAGAACTTGAGAGAATCCGTGAATTGCTGAGATTGGTGCCAAAGAAAATCACAAGAGAAAAACCATACAACTTGCTAGTGATTGCTGTGCCATCTGCTAGCCATGCCAGAGAGTCTTTAACCTATAGCACAACAAAAATATAGCATACAGCACTGGAGAACAGGACGCAGCTCAGGTGCAGGAGGCAGACTGCTCTGATCACCTTCTTACTAAGTACTCAAAAAGTCTGTCTGCAGTCCTGAATGAAGACCTCCCACTGCCTTCCTCAGTGTAAATATTTCTGTAACGAGTAAAAGTAAACAGGACTGCAACATGAAAAAAACTTCCATTCTATTAAGACAGAGTTATTTCCCAGAATAACAATAGGTAAGGGGAAATCCTCCAACACACACACCATGTAACAACAGCAGAGCCCACAAACTTTCAGCTCTTGCTGTGGCTCGTGCTTAGACCGTACTGATGGAAGAAGACAGCTCCTACTCTACAAGCACTGGAGTGTTGCCATGAGGTTCTCTGGAGACTGTGAAAATGATTTAATTTTTAATTTATTTTACAAGGCAGAGATACCTGGATTCCTTGTGATTCACAAGGCCCTTTCATAGCTGGTTTTGAATCCCTACTTAGGAAATATACCCCATACAGAGGTTCTTGGTTATTTTCTGGTCTACAGTATGAAAGTTAACATTCCAGCCTTAAATATCTATCCTAACCTTGAGCAGTGGCCAAGCAAGAAGTGGCCTGTCACAAGATGCTTGCCTTTCTCTTCTTGCTTCTTCTTCCCCTTCAGCACGTTTGTTACTGCACTGATGATAAGGATTACACAGGAATAATCCAGGACAGCATCTCAGCACAACAGCAATTTGAAAAAGCAGTGAAATAGAGTAATCCCCTACTGGCATTACTCCCTAGCAGAAAGCTGTCACATGGATTTACTCCATAGTCAGCTGGGAAATAGTGCGAGTGCTATCAGCAGTAGAGGTATCACTCACATTTTATAACAAGGCTTGTTAGAGAAAAGAGTTTTGGCCACAAAGTCCAGCATTTGTCATTGCACAAGAAAGTTCACTTTTTCTAAATTCTAGATGGACAGAGACAACATCAAGATGCTTGTGTCATCTACCATGCAGTCACTGAAGAGGCGAGAAGAAGAAAGACCTACCATAGAATTTTTCATAATACTGCCAGCACAAGCTTACCACAAATGTACTAAATAACGATACAAAACTGGTAGAACAAAGAAAGCAAGCTGCTTGTGGCTTCCACGCAGTTGAACTGCAGCCAGTTAAGTGCTCTATCTGCAGCAGAAAGGATCGCCTTCTGCTACCTTCAGCCTAGATAAAGTGTTACCATATTGCTGAATCCAAATCTTAACCTGCAGAACAGGGAAGAGTCAGTTCTACCATTCTAAGGCCAGCAGAACATCTTCACCATCAGCTATCTCCCCTGCATTCCAGCTGGTGTCCATAACTCTGGGCACTAAGAAGCTGCATACTTGTGGCTGCACTGAAAACAAAGCTCCAGAGCAGGCAAGTCCAACTAATAGACCACACATGGCCCTAGACAGCTGATAAATGCAGCCCCACAAGATCATAAACTGTTAACATTAAGTGATTTTTAGTGATATTTTTCATGAGTCAGGCATGGCTCCAATGTTTTTACTGCCCTTATTTTTTGTTTCAATAAAAATATAAAAGTTTTGTTACTTGTGCACAGTACCTATGTCATATATTCTAATTACTGTTATATATTTTATATGTGGCCCAAGACAATTCCTCTTCACTCAGTGCAGCTCAGGAAAGCCAAAAGGTTGGACAACATCCATATTCTAGAGGAAAACCAAGTCTACCAGATACATGGGGTGGTAGATGCTCATACATATCAACATTAAATGGGACATCAGACAACAAGCTCTGGCATTAGAATGCATGTCAAAAATAGAGTGCAAAGGACAAGATTCGTCATGACTTATTTTTCAAGCTATTTTCAAATTGGTACTCTCCAATTGTTTTTTCAACACAAGGCTCTGGATTTGTATGCAGAAGTATTTAGAAGATGTAGTGGTTTGGGAAGTTCTTTCATTTGCTACAGGCTACATGGAAAACAGTAAACTATTAAAATATTTCTAAAGTAAACTTAGAATGAAATATTTCTCTTGATTCAGTATATATTTCATGAATCTTGCCTGCAAATGTGTAAACATATATTTTTTTTTTTTTAATGTATCAATTGGGAATGCCTTGAAATCTCAACCTTTTCATTCTCTGGCAAGTTCTAATCCCTTTACAGACTTCAGCCAGGTCACTCCATCAGGTCTGAGTGCTTAACAGAAGCACAAGCAAAACAGCAGTTAATTAGATTCATTTTGAATAGGTTGAACAGAATGAAGGCTGACAGGAATCAAATACAGAAGAGAAGGGACACTTCCTTGTTAGAGGAAAAAAATTACATGAATCCCAAAGGAGACCTATAAACACGAAGAGTCTGAGAACAGATGCAGTTGGGAAATCAAATGACTTCTGGTATCTCCACTGACAGAACAAGAAAGGAGCATACTTTACATCATTTCAAGTTACTATATGGTGCTTTGCTTTTTTTTCAAAAAATTATACAGAGTACCCTTTGCTTTCAGGTGCAGCATTTCCAAATTGCTCTGGGTATACACTGATGTAAACAAAATCCTAGGATCTTAAGAGCTCTAAGATAGTCAATGCAGCTGGGATAGGAAAAGATTTATTCACAGTGATTCATCTGAAAACAGGATACAAGCAGCTGTGCAAATTTAAACATGGAACTTATCTCTTAGTGCTGTAAGAGCATGAGATTATTCTCTTACTCCAGACAAGAAATGTTCTAATTCCCACAGATGAAGAGATCCCTACGGGGATTAAACTATTCCTCCTCTCAGGAGGGTTTTATACACTTTCTTACAGCTTTTAAATTCATGCTGTTCCTACAGATCTAGGAAGTTCTCACACAAGGTTAAAATCTTGCATGTTCACAGACATCAGAACAGTTAATAGTTCAAGAAAGTGAAGGGTTCTAAAACATCTAAAATAAACACATTTGGAGACATGACATTAATAGCAAGACATTAGACACTTACCCATATCGTCATCAAATATGGATTTTTGTTCCACCTTTTTCTTGGTCTTCTTCTCTTTTGGTTTTACAGTGAGATCCGCAAAGATATCAATGTTATCATCAAAGAGGTTACTCTCTGTCATTTTCTCTTTTGCTTTGCTCATTGGCTTAATTGCCTCAGTAGCAAATATATCATCCTTGGAGCAAAGTACAGAGAGATTATCAATATACAGCACACTTCAAGAGAATAATCATTACCTGTACACAGCTGCTGGGTATTTAGAAGACTGACAGCCTCAGGCTTCCCAAACCTGAGAAATTTGGGTCCCTTCTCCCCTACTGGATGTGGCCTAGTGAGGGATTGTGCACAGGTCAAATACAGTGTCACTTCTTCAGAATGCCAACCTTTCTCCTTTTTTGAATTATCTATCTGAGCTACTGCGCACTGAACAAGTAGCAGAAAAGAACCAAATACTTCATTAATCTAAAAAAAGGTAATAACCATGGGTATGTCATCACAGCACGTTCACTGCCCAATCTGCTCTGATAAGGCTTCACCTTCTAATCCACACTTGCTAATAAACAGATGAACCCTGAAAGTAAGGGTTTCTGTTGCCCAGTAGCAGAATACAATTGACACTTCATTAACTGTTCTGCACAATCCCATTCCTACTCAGCCTGTGTTTAAGTAGAAGTATTTGCATATAAGGCCCTGGGGGGGTCAAAAAGGCCAAGGTATCAGGCTTTCCTTCCCAACTTCCTCCAGCAAGCCTCAGCCATTACCTCAAAAATATCTTGTGCAGCAGAATCAACAGCTTGCTGAACAGCAGATTTCAACTCCTCCTTCCCAGTTTTCTGACTGGGGAAAAGAGAATCTTCCTCCTCCTCCAAAAAAGACATAGGGCTGTTTTTTGATGAAGACTTTTGCTGTACAGACTGGAAAAGAGCACTGCTGTCCTGATTACCCAGAACAGAGAGTTCAGGCTTTTTCTCCATGCCCTTGATGGGTTCGTTGGCCACACTTCCTGGCATTTCCTCCCTCAATTTTGATTGTGTAGCTGCTCTGGATGTTGAGTGACTTGCAAAAAGATCTTCTGATTCAAACAGATCATCTCCTTGGTCTGTGGATTCTGGAGGAAGTTTGTTAGTCGCAATGCTGCCATGAGCTGGTAGTGATGAGCCAGAGAGAAAACCATTTTCTTTGGATTCCACTTCAGTAACAAGCTCCTTTACGTTTTCTATTGTTGATCTCTGTTTTGGTACTGAGAACGGTGGCTCTTTAGCACTGTACACCTCTTCACTCTCACCAGACTCTTGGGCAGCTAGCCGGCGGGCCATTCTGCTTGGAGGCCTGCGTTTTCCTGTAACCTTGATTCTGGTCTGTAGGAAAAGAATATAAACAGAGAGGGTTATATTGAAGGGAGAAGGAAATAACCCTACACTTTATGGAAGACAGATTAGGACCCATGCTTTGTTCTAACACTTTTCATAACACTGTAAATTAACATTTTACTCATTTCATATCAGTACACTGAAATTAACTTCAAGTTTTGCTGAAGTTACTTAAACCAGAGCTATAAGCAGTGACCAGTACATTTAAGCAAGCATTCAGTTGTGAAACCTGAGCAAAGAAAGATGAGAAGATGCTGATTTAGCTTTAATTCCCTTTTCTCTCATCTTAAATACCAAGGTTACCTTATTGGCGCTGTGCAAAGTATCCGCTTGCATAGGCTGATCAAAGCTTACACCTAATTCTTCATTGTTCCCTGCAGCAGGGAAGGTTTCACTGCTCTGTACGTCATTGGGCTCATGCAGTGGAGTGTCCAAAATGGGGAAGGGGGACTTTACACTGGAGATCTTAGGCACTGCACCAGGAAGTAAGGCTGCAGGGTTAATAGCTAAATTAGCCTACAAAACAAAACAAAAAACACATACACACACACAAAGATAGCATGTTAATACTGCTCCAGAGAAGCAGCAAGAACTAGCGCATTTAAGCATTCAAGTTCTACTCCTAGAAGTGCCTGGCCTCTCTCATCTCAGCTCACTTCTAGATCGCCCACGTTCTCTGTCTCACTAAACCTTTGACTACTCAGTGCTATTACACTGTATAAGAACTTCAAAAACACCTCGGTTATAGTAACTCGCACAAAAAAAACTATGTAGCCCAGTATCCTGTCTGAGGACAAGACTGGTTCTGACTTTGGAGTGAAACAGTTATATAGACAGTTAATAGATTTTTCATATCAAGAGAAGGAAATAACCGAAACTCAAAACCCCTAAGAGTATCTAAGCATACTTAAAATATTGCTGAGAATTGCAGGCCAAAAAGCCCACCCTCTGCCCCCAGAGTTAAATAGCATTGCCCATAGTCAGGTCTGAAAAGTAAAGGGGGAAATAATGTTAAACATGCAATACAGAAAAATTAACAATAGAGGACATGTCATCTGAAAAAAAACAAAATGGCAGAAGTAAGGTAGGGAAGTAAAAAGATTTTGCTTCAGGGAGAGCCATCAGTGAGGCAAGGAAGATATTTTTTATTTTTTTGAAAGCCAGAATGCCAGTAAAATAATTACTTGTAACTTTCCAATCCGAGATGAGGGTTCTTTGGTTTTAATGGGAACGGGACCTGTAGATTTCTGCACAAAATTACACTGAATTAAACAACAGGTGGAGAATATCAACATCTTCAACCAGACTATAGCCTGAATTTCAAAACATCTGTAGAAAGGAACCATCTCACTGCTTATCAGCTTCTTCTTGAGATACCTTGTTTTCAACACACATTCTAAAACCAGAGCTAGTCGTTTGACTTTTAAATCCTGTTCCTCATGTCATAGCCCCATCTTTGTTACAATTCCACCCCTTTCTATCAATGTTATGTTTTACCATCATAATTCTACAACTTCCTCCTTTCTCCAGGTCACACACAACACAAGTCAAATCCAGTCGTGACAGCCACCCTACCTCCTTGCTTATTCACTCCCCTAAGATCCTATGGTCATGCTGTCTTGTCATAATTACATATATGCATAAGTATATAAATTATACATATACAATTACATAAAAAATGTATAATCATGCACACATATGATGTATAAGTGTTATAATTGACTTTTCTCTTTGTCATTTGCTGTATTAGGGCCATAGACCTTAATGAAACCCACACTGGAGTCTAGAGTATTCCAAAACTGCAAAGCTTTCAAGAAGGAAGCTTTCCTCTACAGAAAGCAGGCCACCCATACCAAAAATAAGACCAGCAAGCTCAATGAGCAAGAAAGCTGTGTCACCTGAAGACTTTAGTCAGTTCTGGGACTCAGGGATAAACCAAATCAATAAAAGGTTTCCATCCGAGGCTTGCTTTCCACAAGTCTCTGATCTGCAATGGTTTTATGAGCTGGGCTGTGCTGCCATTGGTGCGGCTGGGCAGTCTTTGAGCGTTTGGACACTGTACTGAGGGCCTTGATAGCATGACAGAAGAATCCTGCTGTCTGCAGTAATCCACCACTTAAATGCACATGGGAATTGGCTGAACCTCACACAGGTGAAGATCATTCCAGTATTTCAGCAGCTACAAAAGGATGAAGTCAAATGAGATCCTCTACATCGAGGAGTACTTTACCAGAAGGGAAGATAAGCTAACTACTAGTCCTACAGACTTATTATGTGCTCCTCAGCCCAGAAGGCAAAAAAACAACCTCCTCTCAACCCATATTCTCAAGCACCCCACAAATGAAAAGCTCATCTCTTACAGCTGAAAATCAAACAAGCAGCTCTGATGAGACAAGCCACAATTCAGATATAGACTCCCCATCTGTGAGGGGAGTCCTTGGTCCTGCAAGATCAGGAGTCTTGTTTGCTCACCATGAAACTTTCATGAAGAGTCTTAGCTGCCACAGATTTGTTCTGTGTGCTACGATCTCTTGATCATGATCTCATGATCATGAGAAAGCCCACCTATACTTTAAAGACTACAGTAACTCCAGCAGATACTGGCATTTCAAAGAACGAGCAAGTGATCAAATCACACCAAACTGCACCTGAAGTTCTTCACTTGCACTTGGCCCTCATAAGCACGCTGGCAGTGAATAAAACATTAGCAATAGCATTTAAACTTTTTGCTATTAACAGCGCACCTGTTGATAAGCAGAGACAAGTATGGCCACATATTACTGCATTTCTGCAGCTTTGCAGCCAATGAATCCAGGCATTAGTTTTGATCTTTATGGGAGACCTGACATCTTTTCCTGTGCATGCAGTCCAAGACACAAGCTTTCAGTACTTGCCTCTGTAGATACTGTCTTCAGAGCTTCATGCTGTTTGGCACTTAAAGCGTTTTCTAGAAGACTACAATTCTCCGAGGAAGGGACAGGACTGGTCTTAATTGTTTTCTTCTCTGCTATTTTCTGAAAACATTAAGAGCACAAATCAACACGAATTGGAAAAAAAACAAGATCTGCAGAGCAAGAAAACAAGCAAAGTTTTTCAAGATCTGAATTCCATTTTCAGAGAAAACTGCCCACATCTTTTAGGCCTGCAATGCATTGCAGGCATTACTTTTTGGTCATCAATGATAAGGGCCTTTCACTCCTTCACACTTATAACCTTTGTTGTCTGTAGTGATGGAAAATAAGGTGAGTTTGGATAAGATTCCAAAAGCATACATATTTCTCATATACAGAATAGCAGGGAAAATAAAAGCATAAACTATCTAAGGAACACTACTGTTTTCAGAGTTTCAAGCAAGCAACCTTCGTGAGTAGCTGAGAGCACTGACTAGAGACAGCCCCTCCCACACTCTTCAGATAAACATTTTTCCAGGAAATATTGCCAGTTTTCTGGCCTAGCTTCCAGCTATTGGCCTGAAAATAGACTAACGTTAGAGCTGGCTTCAATTTAGTTAAGCTCCATAGGTTGCTCCAAAAGTAATGCCTCCTATTTGTTTCCATGGAAACCACAACAGTCAAAAGACCATACGAACACTATTTGATAGAGCAAATTGTCAGCTAAAACACTACTTTGCAACACAGCCACCATTATTTTTTGCAAGCTATGAACAAGAGAGCCTTCATGCTGTGCTCGTAAAAATCCGCACCAGCAGAGGTGACCCACAGTCAGTATTTGCATTGCTGAAGCACACCACCACTGCCTCACTCGGCTCACACCCACTGTTTGGTCTCCATAAACATTCAGCAAGCGTCAGTGAATGTTAATGGGTGCAGTTCCAAAGGAGAAATTCAACTGTACACCTTATTTCAGACACTACAGACTGCCCCTCTGCTGACATTTGTTGACCAGCAACAAAAGGTAACAGAATACTGGGGGGAAGGTTCAACCTCCACTGCCATACCGCCAACACCCCCCCCGATTTGTAGGCCAACATAATCAAATATGATGCATTACTTTTGGATCAGTCCTTGTACATTTAGAGCAGAAGTTCAGAATGCATGTTAGGACTTGGAACTCAAACCACCCATTATGTAGCCCAGTTCATTATGGCAGTTTCTCACCCTCTAATAACAATCCAGTGATTTTATTAACACATTCATTACCTTAAATTAAACCAATCTACAGACTTAAATGACATAAAGGGCTTCAGGGCTACTAGTCCCACAAGCCATACTGAGCCTAAAGAATCTCACTGCAGAGAGGTAGGCTAAAGTTTCAACATCTCCAAGGTATCACTACCTATTAAACCAGCCAGACCCTGAATAATACACAAGCAACTTTACTATTCTGATTTCTGCTCAAGTGTGTTCTCTAACATTTAAGTCCATCCCAGTGGTACCAATGGAGGAAAAAAATATAGTTCTCAAATCTCAGCCCTTGGAGGTCTGCTGCATCTGTTTGTTCCATATGTCTTCAGAGTTACAAGAGCCATTTCTATTCTCACAAAAAGACTTTAAAGTGATTTCATGTCCTGTCAGAACACATGTGGAAAAACTCCCTTTTATGCACTTATTTCCATGGTCTTCTTCAGAAGCCATGTATAATAGAGGATCACATACCGGAGGGTTTGTTTTAGCAGTACTGAAGAGATCATCCTCATCATCATCCCCAAAAAGACTTCCTCCAGATGATGGTTTCAGAATACGATTTGTAGACTGAAGAGAAAAAAGGATAAAAAAGAATGTCACAGATCAAAAGCACATCTTCTACCCACAGTGCCTTGACTTTAGCACTTGGCCATTCCTAGAGATCAGGGATTTTTAAGTTGTGCTCAACTGTGACACACTAGAAGGCTACACACTTCAAAGATTGTTTTTAAACAGCAGGTTCAGAGGAGGGATTTGGACTCACCATTGACGTCTTGGGACTGGCAAAGAGGTCAACATCCGGATCATTGTCCTTCTGAAGTTTGTGACTAAAAAGCAGCTCTTCATCTTGAAACACACCAGTGCTTTTGGGACGAATGCTCTTCTCAGAGGGCTGAAAGGAGAAAGGTTCAGACATTAAAAAAAACAATCTTACTTACAGAGGACACTGCTTCAGTGGTGTATTTGCCAAGCAGATAAGGCAGGTTACAAATGACCTGAGGCTGTGCTACAGCCCTGGCAACAACAAAAACACAGCTTGAACTACCATAGCATGTTCGTAGTTTGCAAAACCTACAATGCAAATGCTTGTATTATCAGTTCATTTTGATTACAAGACATTAAATAAAATGTACTTCCAGGTCTGTCAATTTGAAAGGCAACTTTTATTATTTACTTGTTATGCTTCCCTATGAGGAAGAAAAAAAGATCTTCAGTATGGTATTATGAGTATACAGCAAATGTTTATATTTTAGGAAGAAACTTTCATGCTTAGAATTATACATATAGATGAGGGTGCATGGCAAAAGTGAGAAGAAAATCTGGCTAATTATCTTCCTGAACTACCTTAAAAAAAAAAAAAAGCCAACAAAAAAAGATGAGGCTCTTTAAAGCTGTTATTGTTGACAGAATGCTCATCCTCCTCCCTTTAAAGCAAAAGCACCCCCATAGTGAAGAACAGAACTTTTGCCTTTGGCAAACACATGTATTTCCAACTCAGCTGCTGAGTGGCAGGGAAGGTCAATATCAAACATTCTCTCATCTGCCTTCCACAATCTGACACACCAGATTGCATCTGCTTTCTAATGCTAACTTCCAGGACACCGTTACACCATTTTTTGGTCCACTCTTACTATATATTTTTTTTTAATACTACCTTTATACATCTTCATTCACTTGCTTTATCTTTACGCCAAATGCTGGGTCCAATTTTTGGAGCACTAGAACAGCTGTGTATACACAAATGCACAAACATCTGATGTACACCTAGTTTTTTGCTACACTAAACACTCAAAATAGTAGCACTTTCCCTGTCAAGAAGATCAGGTTCCTAAACTAATTATTGTAATTTTTTCATGATTATGCATTTCAGCACTGTAACCACTCCACTACTGCTATATTCTGCTTGCTTCCTAGGAAAGCTTTAAAAGGGCTTAGATTTTCCCAGTCGCCACCCCATACTTCCCCCACCCCAAAAAGAAAACAAAAACACATGTTCATAACAGGTAAGTGTTCAACTAACTCTGAGGCAGCAATAAACAGGGAATTTTGTCCAAGAGTCATTTGTTTCATTCAACTCCAGGGACTCACAAATAGAGTGCGTATAGTCTTTGGTGCTGAAAATTTATTTTACAATGTTATAAGATGACAAAAACTTGTGGTATGCTCTAGTATACACTCTGTACTTCTAGATATGATTTCAAGTTTACTGAACACATTTTGGTATAGGAGCATCAAGTAGAAATATGAACGTTGCCATAAATTCAAGGATACGGTGGAAGGAAGGGATGCCATTCAGAGGGACCTCGACAGGCTGGAGGGCTGGGCTCGGGTGAACCTAATGAGGTTCAACACGGCAAAGTGCAAAGTTTTGCATTTGGGCCGGAAGAACCCCAGGCACCCGTACAGGCTGGGAGGAGTGGTCCTTGAGAGCAGCTCGGCAGAGAAGGACCTGGGGGTCCTGATGGACGAGAGACTGAACATGAGCCAGCAGTGCGCTCTGGCAGCTCGAAAGGCAAATGGGATCCTGGGCTCCATCAGGAGAGGGGTGGCCAGCAGGGACAGGGAGGTGATCGTCCCTCTCTACTCGGCTCTTGTGAGGCCCCATCTGGAGTACTGTGTCCAGGTGTGGAGCCCTCAGTACAAGAAAGACATTGAGATTTTGGAAAGGGTCCAGAGGAGGGCAACTAAGATGATCAGGGGGCTGGAGCACCTCCTCTATGAGGACAGGCTGAGGGAGTTGGGCTTGTTCAGCCTGGAGAAGAGAAGGCTGCGGGGTGACCTCATTGCAGCCTATCAATACCTGAAGGGAACCTACACCCACGAGGGGAGTAAACTCTTCAAAAGGGCTGACAACAGCAGGACTAGGGGAAATGGATCGAAGTTGAAGGAGGGAAGATTTAGGTTGGATGTTAGGGGGAAGTTCTATACAAGGAGAGTGGTTAGGCCCTGGAACGGGCTGCCCAGGGAGGTTGTGGATGCCCCGTCCTTGGATGTGTTTAAGGCCAGGTTGGACAGGGTCCTGGGCAACCTGATCTGAATGTGTGTGTTTGGTGGCCCTGCTAGGCAGGGGGGTTGGAACTACATGATCCTTGAGGTCCCTTCCAACCCGGGTGATTCTGTGATTCTGTGATTCTGTGATATCACTGCTGAAGATTCAAAGCCCACATCTTAATGCAATATATCAGGAAAGCCAGACAGCAAGAATATGGCAACTAGAGGCTTTTTTTTTTTTAAAAAAAAGTGAACACATGCTTGGAAAACAGAATTAAGCATAGCTTCAGCTAGAGTCATCTTAGAACTAAGTCTGCTGGTTTATGCAGAGCAAGCAGATTGTACCACTATTAAAAGAAGGATAAAGTATGAGGCTTCATACTCCATATCCCTCTACTTTCTAATACCTCCAACCCTGAGTAATAAAAGAATCAGTTCTTTAGAACAGACATCAAGTAACTGTATCAAGAAAAAATATTTTCAGATTTTTTTTAAAGTAGCATATGACAAAATGTTTCCGAGTCAGCGGGATGGAAAAAAATCACAGAGGGATTCAGGATTATGGGTAAGTGTAGGAATTATTTCTCATCCAAGAATTAGGAAATTGAGAAATTGAGAAAAATTACCTAGCAGGAATCGGAGAAAGGAGGTGTGAAAACAAACAAAACCCTTCTAGAAAACTAGCCTAGAATAGGACTAGTTTAGAGGTAGAAGTATTATTTCCCAGTATTCAAGAACTTCCCTAGACTCACCACATCATTGCCTTTGTGTGCATTTTTAATGCCATCATCTTCCAGTTTCTCCTCTTCCTCCTCATCGAACAAGCTTAACACTTTCCTAGCTTGGACACTGGCATCTTTCTCCAGAGCTGGTGGTGATGCTGCAAACAGATCTGGCTCCAAAGATGATGTGGCAAAAGGCTCCACCAAAATAAATGAATAAATAAATAAATAAACACACACACACAGAGCTGTTACTTAGTTTGAGTCTGCCCCAGACCCACTAAGCTTTGCTCAGAGTTGTGCAATCTGGTATCACAGCAGACAATTAAGTACAATTCAATTACACTAAGCAGACAAAATAGCAACATGCAGATTATCAAGATACATTTCAATAGATTAAGAAAACATTTTATAACTCTGAAATGAATGTAGTCACCTTCCTGTACTCTACACTCTACAACCTGATGCTGTTAATCAGATTTCTAAATATTGTTTCCTTCCCGTATATGTGTCAGGTTACATCTTGTTCCACAACTCTGCATTCTGTTATTTTGACATTATCTGCAGGGTATCTAATTCATGCCATTTGGGATTCTTCATATGGGCAGCACCACCTGAACACTGAGAGTGCTCAGGAAGGTTTAAAGCACCGTAACAATATACTGGAAGCCATCAGCTGCCAATTCCCCAATGATCTTTCAGAAGGAGAATGCCCAGGAGTTAAGTTCTGTTGAAGCTTCTTCAATAATGCACTCAAAGCTCTTTCTGTGAACTACTGCACATGAGAAATTCACAATCCTATTCAGCCTCAACTCTATAACTACCAACACTGACTACAATTCATCAGACAACATGCTCAAACAGGGAAATTACTGAGCTTTACAAAGCATACCCATTAGTATAAGCTTACTGTTTTTTCAAAAGGAGAGCACTGCACACATGAAAAAAAATTTCCCCACTCAGTCTAGAGTAGAAAAAGAATTCAAAACACAAAACTTTGGCAAACACTAGCTGGGAAATGAGTTTAAATGCCATTTAATCAGTTTGGTAATGTTTGACCAATAAGTGATTTTGCTAAAAGTTGAGTTATTCTCTCCCAAGTAAAAGCAGAGGCAATGAAAAAACTAATTCTGTCCCCATTACATTTTTATACTGAATCTTTGCCATGCTTCAGGTTAATATAAGAAAATCTCTTACTTTTCCCTTTGTCACCTGTCTTCCGACATCTGTTCCTCCAGGCACAGGAACTGCTTCAGGCTCTACTGAAGACCACAGTGTATCTTGTGCCTGGTTAGACTTTGCAATATGTGGTCGATCATTCTTCTCCTCTTTTTCCTCTTCATTAAACAAGGATTGTGTTTGTGCTGGCTTTATTTTCTCCTGCAAAATTACGAGAATCATTGACACAGAACTGCTTGGTATATGAGAAGAACATGCTGCCGAGAGACAGCAGACCCTCAGTTTGCTATCCAGGAGTCCACATGGACACTGGCAATGTGCTTGAGGTTGCTTCCTTTTCTTGCATTCTGATTTCTAGTATGATAGGCTCTTAAGACTGAACAAAGAGCGCCAGGAAACAGTTGCAAACTTAAAGCAGATGCTGTAGGAATCCTGTTCAATTACTGCAGTGGCTCCTAAGACCACCAACAGCTAGACTAGCTTGCCTGCTTCTTTTTCCACCCCCAAAATCTGCACTTAACCTACCTGGAAAAAGGTAAGGCCATGAAATATGTTTCTGGCAACTCCTTTCTTGGCAACCAGAAAGGCAAGACTGGGGAGTAATGTCATACGTGCAGCAAGTCTGCTGCATTAAACTTATGTTCAGCTCCAAAGCGCAACCAGACAGGAGCACATTGTGGGTTGAGCTCAAAAGACAGGATAGCATGAGAGTGCTCCACTGAAGGCCAGCCAGCTAGAGCTGAGATACCACACAGATGAAATTCCAGTTTCACAGTCAGCAGTAAACTGTCTATTCTTCTTAGTGGTACTTTATGGTTTGAGAGATCCAGAAAGGGCTTTCAGCACAAACCAAACAAGTTTAGTGATGATTATTATGATGATCATTTTGAAATCTTTTAGCCTGATAGTAATATGCCTAGCCTGTAAGAATTCTGTCTGATCCCATTCCAAGTTTGCTAGAACTACTATTGTCTAAAACAAGTTGGGCTTACATTACCTAACAGGAAGGATAACTTATGTGAACACTGTACAAGTATTCTGCATTATTTTTAAAAGAAAGGGAAGATACCACTGAAGAAGCTGAAGGAAGTGTTGATTGGGAACTGAAGAGTGATTCTCCAGTAACATCATCATCTTCAAACAGCAGTGATATCCTCTGTGGTTTTCTTTGGCTGCAGCAAGGAAAAGAATAAAAGTGGAAGATCAATGCAAAAGTTTCAAGGCCCACGTTCTGCATTTCTTTAGGAAGCATAACCTCATCCATAATATGTGATCCTAGATAAAAGAATTGGGTTCCTCACCATCCAAACAATTCTACCATCATCCTCTCTCATCTGCATACCTTTCTACAGAATTGAAGATAAGAGGTCAGAAAAGGTATTAGAAGCAGAGAAATGAAGAACCCAGTTTGGTGGAGGAATACAATCCATCACAGACCAAAAATTGGTGGAGGTATACAATCCATCACAGACCAAAAAAAAAGACAAAAAAGCCTAGCCAAGTCCAACAAATCCCGCTCACACATCTCTACTTCATCCTCAGCAGCATTAAGAAGAGACAACACTTACAGTGAGTCTGCCTCTTCATGTTTTTAGGACAGAACCGGACTGCTCTGAAGATTCCCCCCAAAGTATTTTCACCTTTCTTTAGTGATTGCAAATAAATCCTCCTCATCATCTTCCTCGAATAGGCTCGTCTTCTTCACAGCTTTAGCCTGACTGATGGTACTAGATGATTTTGCAGAGTCCTCTTTTCGGTTATCTTCTGAAGGAAGCTTAAGTGGCTTGGAGACATTCCAGTGCTCCTTAAAAACAAGGAACTCTTCAGTTTATTTTGTCTTGGTGAAAGCCACTTTCACAACTTCTCTGTAAGAATAAACAGTGCAGCACCTTGGCAGTCCTTGCATCTACCTACTGGCTTTTTTTTTTTTTTTTTTCTTCCCCTCCATTCCTGCATTATATTCCTGCAATCTGACATCGATCAGGTTTCACGGAGGGCCTGGCCACCTTTCAGCATACATTTGCCAGCAGAATAATGTACATGCTCTTTCCCATTACAGCTGCTCTTAAGAGCTAAGGTTAGTGTAAACTTTCCAGACAAGCTTTTAGTTACTTAGTGCCTCTGAGTTTCAATTAACATGTAGGATGAGACCTCACCTATCTCTAATAGGTGCCAGTCCCTAGGAAGTTTCATCCTTGCATTTCATTTTATCTATCTCTGGACTTTCAAGAAAACTCAAAAAAACAAAACAAACAAGAAAACCAAGCAAACCAAAGAAACTCTAAACAACATAACTGGAACTTTAAGTTTTTCTCACCAAAAAATAAAGTAGAAGGAAACAAATGTTTTTTTTTTTTTTTTTTTTTTTTTTTTCACTCAATATTTTTAAGTTTGGCTTGTTGGCAGCAGTGTCCTCCATTTCTTATCAACATAAATACTACCCTGAAAAAATATTGATTCACTTCCACATAATTTCTGTTGCCCAGATCTTGAGTTACTCTGAGCCAAGAGTAAGCTTCTTCAACAGTGAACATGTCACAGGAATGAGGCAGACATGGCAAGAAGACACAGCAGTCTGACTGTAGTTCCTGTCTGAACAGTTCTTTGTTTTGGCTAGTAGAAAAACCCCGCAACCCATTTCAATCAAGTCTTGCTCTTCAGTACCTCCTCATCACTGCTGAACAATAAGCTGGAGGCTTTCTTGTGTGGCTCTGACTGTTTCGCTTTCTCTTCCTGGGGCTTTTCCTGTTGCTTCTTGGCAGGCACCACACCAAACAGATCCTAAAAACAAATGCCAAAACAACAGAATGAAAATCCAAATTCACAATGGAAAGCTTGCTGAGAAGTCAACAGCATGCAAGACACCATGGCCCATTGTTTCTCAAATAAGAAAGAAGCAATTTTGTGAACACACTTCGAAGATATTTTCAAGCATGATACAACATTATGGTATGGGGAAATTCAAGCACACAACATCTGACAGATCAGAAACTTGTAAGCATACTGCCAGATTTAGGCATCCAGGTTCTCCTACATCCACCATACAGCAATTCTGCAGCACAACAGCTAAAATAGCGGGGCACAGTTTCTACTTCGTAACACAATCTTCATGGACTATGCTAAAATCCAGAGATCTTACCACATTACAGGATGTTTCACAATCCTAACAGTTCCCTCTGTGCACAGTCCCCATTCAGAAGTCGAGGGAGCTCAAGCAGCCCCCTCCTGAACAACGGACCATTATCTTGACTTTGCAAAAATTCTTGCTCTTCCAGCTCTGAACAGGCCTTCGGTCAGTCTCATGCTAGAACTATAGGCTAACTTAATTCAGGCTACAGACCCAAAGTCGACAGCTCAATGGAGTGTGTGCAGGAGGAAGAAGAGGGCGCAACAGGTAAGAAAAGCAGACACTAATAAGTTTCTAGCACCAACTGTGCTCTGATCTCAACTTCTGCACTAGCAGTTGTCATTTTCACATACAGAAAAGCAAGGGGAAAAAAAAAAAAAAAAGATATTTGCCAGCTGTGACAGTGGAAACAAGAACTCATTCATGGGTAGACAGCAGAGGCCAGGATAGAACAGTGTTTCCAAGCACCTATCAGTTCTGTATCTCAGTGTTCTTTAGCTGTTTGAGAAGGACAATGTTCTTAGCATTTAGGTTCAGAGATGATGTGCACTGGCTAAAGATACTAAAAAGATAAAGAGCTCACAAGAGTACCTCATCAAATCTCCTTCATGATGCTGTCTGCATGCTCAGAACTATTAAAGAGTGTAAGACGACCAATTTGGTGCTCTAAATTTAGTGCTCCATTTATGAGTTCAGATCTTTAAACACGTGAATATTTCCTGCAGCAAGCTGCTCACATGAACAGACAGGATCAGGAAGTGGTACTTACCTCTTCATCATCATCAAACAATGAGAGTGGAGCTTTCGTTGTGGACTTGCTGGTGGGGAGCGATGTAGCTTTTGATGTCACGGTTTTACTTGATGAAAACAAATCCTGCACAAACCAGTGAAATATCACTATACAAAGCAATGCTACACACTTAAGAAATGGGAGATCTATGTTTTTCCTTTAAAAATGTTCAGTGTGTCTGTGAAGTCAGGATAGATTGTCTTTCAGATACACCAAGTACCTAAAAACTTACGGTGATTTCCCTCAGCTTTGCAGATTTGTTACTACAGGAAATCAAGGACAAAAGTCTAAACACAGTCAGTCCTTTGTAATTCTCGTTCTTAATTTGCTGCTCTTTCCTTCCCTTTAGATTTCTAATGCTTATGTGTACCACACAAGTTCAGTCTTCTCACACTGGGGAAGAAATAATCAAAGATCTCACCCTCGGAGAAAGTTTCCAGAAAGGCTGGGAGCAGATACATGGTGTCAGAGTTCACAACTGTGCAGATAAGTGGAATAAAGTCAGAATGACTCAGATCCCAAAGATTTTTGCAGTCGTTTATTTCAGAGATACTCACTTCAGAATCCTCCTCATCTGAGAAGAGGCCCCTCTGTTTCCTTTGAGGTGTCTCAGATGAAGGCTTGAAATCATCACCTGAAGATGGCTGACTCTTAAGGAAAAGAAAACCACTGCATCAGCACCTATTTGGAGTCAGTAAGGGCAGGCACACTATGACCTTTTTAGGGCCCATGCTGCTAACAGCAGTCAAAAGAACAGGACGCAGGCTTGTCATCCATGAGCTTAAGTCTCATTTGCTGTGTGAGCAACACCTATGCAGCCAGAACTTTGCAAAGGTCCCCTCTCCCACCACCTTCCTTCTCAGCAGAAAATACATGCAGTAATGCATGCCAGGCCTCATTTTGAGTCAAAGGAAAATGAATTTTAAGCCATACTTAAAAAAAAAATAGAAAAAATAAAAGACAGTTTGTGCCAGCCATCATTTCCTTTATTAGCACAGCATGGACCAGGCCTGCCACCAGCTATATTGCCATTAGTGTCAGAATGATTCCAGACCCAAACACTACTATCAGAAAGGCTAAGTTTAAAATAGCCTTCACTTCCTGACAGAGCAAGAGTGGTGCTGCTGATTCAGTTCTCATCCTCTCTCCCAGGAAAAGAAAGTATTACAAATCTGAGCAACAGTACTGGAGGTTCTCCCATAACCTCTCCTGCTTTTGCATTGCATCAGAAACAGGAGCTGGCTTTCGGCTTTGTGCTCAAGTGCTTTTTAAAAGTCAGTATGGATAGAGTCCTACAACAATTGGTACTGTACATCCCCAGCACTGTATGCTTCTCAGTGTGGAGGGGAAAAGAGTTGCCGTAGCTCATTACATTCATATACTGCTTAGACAGCATGTATACAATGAACACATACAGTCTGTGTTACAGAAACAAAGAGCATCACCACTTGCCCCAAGACACTGCTCTGAAAAATAAAATTGAGTGTGCATTAGGAAAGTCTCACAGCTTTATGCATGTGTCCTCAGGACAGCATTTAAAACTTTTGGTAACTTAAGAGTTTTCAGCTGAAAAGCTGCTTTTTGAATGCTCAGAATGTTGTATATGCTTAGGTAGAAATGCGACACCCACAATCCTGTCCCAAAACATACACAAGTAATGGGTTACCACTTAAGTTCCTGTCAGAGGTTTGTGTAACTGCAACAGTCTGTGCAGTACAGAACCATGACACCAAAGCTTCTTAATTCAGGCTGGCTTCTTTCCAGCAATGAATTTCCTACACTTCTGTTGTTGTTGTTTGCTTGTTAAAGGTTTTGTTTGTTTAAACTAGCAAAGACTTCTCATTTTGCTCCCAATTCAGTTCTACTTTAAAAAGATTGTCTAATCATTTCCCACAAGCAAAAAGCCTTGAATAAACTCAAAGTTAGAGAAGCAAAAGACATTTAAGGGCTCCTGAAACACTTAAGGAGTTCTGGCCACAAAAGACCCACAAAAGAAAATATGGCACTTCCATACTGTTTCACACAGAAAGATGACCTCAGACACAGTAATTTCTTTCTCCTAATACCTTAGCCATACAACCTATTTATATTCCATTACCTTTTTTGCTATGGCTACCTTCTTTTCACTCTCCGCTTCTTCAGTTGTGCTAGCAGCCACAGTAGAAACGGCAGGTTTCTCTTTGAATAAGTCACCTTCATCATCATCATCAAATAGGTCAGTTGCAGATTTGACTGCATTAAGAGACAAAACAAATAATGTAATGAGTAGAACAGGACAGCACAGACACTACTGAACAAGAGACAGCAGTCAAAGATACTGTGCTCTCTTTTACAAAAAAACAAGTATGTACAATCAATGAATGTGCAGATGACATAGTATATCCGAGAGCTTGGCTTATGCAATTATTATACTAAAGCAGGAAAGAAGATTCTCATCCTACCCAGGGCTCATGTGGTAAACTCCAGTGGCACAGATCTCCAGAAGAGATCCTTCCCCATTGGTAGTCAGCTCTTAAATGGGTCTGGAGAGGTGCAGCCAGGCTCCACCCCTTCTGGCAGCACAGGTGGATTCCCTTCACCTGTGCTCCCTTGGCTGACTCATTGCTTGCCTCAGGTGATCAATCAGAGAGGTTCAGGCCCTGATTCACCAGTCCCCATACAAAGTAGCAGAGACTTTTAAGGGAAAAAACTAGTCAAGCTCTTGAAGTGAAACAGAGCATCAGTGACAGACACTATAACCAACAAGCATCCAGTTGGAGTCTCATTGAATGGCTACTTCTAAATCCCTCAACAAAGCATTTTACATTAGATGGGCACACCTAAAGGTCAAGTGCCTGTCAATAGGTGGTGGTGAGCAGAGGTGCTCAAAGCTGTATGAGCTCAGTCTGTACTACTTTCCTGCTTTAAGTCTGAATACTGCCTTTGAAGCAGAAGTAACATCCTAAGAGAGAAAGGTCATGGGAGGGCATGTACAAATAAACCAGCCCTATCGTTCTGAGGAAAAGAGTTACTAATAGAATAAATATTAAAACAAACACAGACCAAAACAAACAAAAACCAAGTCAAAAATAAGTCCAGCGAAGGACTCAGTGATTCAGTTTGAACTTCAATGATCTTTTATATTTAACTTGTCACTGCACAGATAAGGAGGTACCTGGACCTGGAGGCTTTTTAGTTGTTCCCATGAAGAAGTCATCATCATCATCATCAAAAAGAACAACTTTTTCAGGTTGCTTAGGAGCTTTTTCTGTACTCTGTGCTGCAGGTTTCTTGTCTTTTTCCACAATTACAGAGGAACTGAAGACATCACTCCCTCCTGCAGGTCAGATGGAGGAAAAGGGATCCACACAGTTACCACAGCCAGAGTTACTGAAAAGCTACTGAAAAAAGTTACTCCTGTGAAAGTTGAACCAGACACACAGTTTCCATCACAGCAATACTTAAAGCATTCCTGCAATGTCTCATCAAAAGCACAAGCTTCTGCTAACCCACAAAAATATGATCAAAATTAAAAGATAAAAATGCATTTCCCTCTCAGAGTATGAGTCAGAGCTGTGATTGAGTGCACTGCAGACATAAACAGCATATCAGTATTTAAAGTAATATATACCCTTAGGAGTAAACTAGTGTAAACTCTCCAAGCTACCAGCTGCTACCATTTATCTCCCTCCCATCATTGGCACCTACCTTCAGAACTCCTGCAGAACTCTGATTAAACATAAAGCATGCTGCAAGTTAGGCTTAGCACAGCAGAAGCGCTTGTGTTTGTCATTAAGCATGTGATCATCAAGCAGTGCAGTGCTGCTGAGCTTTCATAGCTTTCTTCTTTAAAAGCTCCCCAGCGCGCTTTAAAGAAAACGACATCTTGTGCATGAAGCAATTTGCTACTGAATGAGTCATACCTGGGAACAGAGACACTGCACCTGCAGGAACTTTCTTTAAGGATTTTGTAGAGATTGCTGAAATCACAGGAAGTACAATACAATTGGATGCACTCACTTTACACTATCAAAGCCTTTAGAACTCTACCATAGAAGTAGGAACCTGAGAGGTGTTCTGAGCTCCACATTTTGCTTAGCAGCCCAGAAGTCTTTAAGATGTTCTCTTTGAACTTCTGCTTCTTTTTTGCAGATGCATGTAAGAACAGTCTAGCTTACTGTAATCCATTAAAACTTGCCAATGAATCTGAGGCTTACAGTTTTGCATCCACACAGTGTTGTTTACAAGGGTTCACATTCACACATTTGAATTACTTTGATACAATACAATCAAAACAAAACTGCTCAGTCTCTAAACCCACATCTGAAAATTCAGAAAGTACAATGTTTCAATAAAAACTGCTGCAGTACAGAACAAGTGCTCATCAGATTCCTCAAGAGTTTGGATATACAACAAAATGAAATGTAGATATTCAAACTGTGAGGAACAATCTTGACCCAACAAAATCCACGACTGGATCCCACACAGTACTCCTCAGCAACAGAAACCCAGCGTATGCAGTGAGCTCTGCCAACATCAGCAAGGATATTTTGTCTGCTCCAGGAAGACAGGTACATGTAAGTGATCACAGTGAACATATACAATTCAAGGAAAACATAACTGCTCTCTATAGAGATTAAAGAAAATAAGAGATTTGAAAACAATTGCTATGCCAGAATTCCTAGTTGGAAAAATTATGTTCCTGCTGCTGGCTGTGATAAATTACAGCACAGACAGAAGTAGAAAGCCAAAAAGCAGGTTCTTACCTGCACTGATAGAAACTTGTTCCTCTTGCTCTTTTGAATCTTCTCTCGGTGCTTCAGCAAAAAGATCACCCTGGTAGTAGACAAAAATGCAAAGGAGTAGTGAATTTGTCTTTTGTAGGAAAATACAGTTGTCAAATATTTCGTGTAGAATATCCAATCAATGTGTTTGCTGTTTCTTTAGTTATAACTAGGAACACTACATCCTGCAAAGGCAATGGCTTGGCTACTGTTCTGGACTTCTTCCAGTATCAACTGCATGATAAAAATCAGAGGTAATCATCTTTTTTTTTTTTTTTTTTTTAACACACAATTTTTCTGTCAAAGCCTTAAACCTCATTAATTTTTAATAGAAATCTTTCTTAAAGTGAACAAACAGCATAATATTTAGTTCATCATCACAGATAAAAGTGAGGTACTGAGTACACAGCTGGAATCAAAACCTCTCTAATGTAGTGCCAGAACCACACTTGCATTTCTAGCAGCACTACCACAGAAAAGTAGGCTCTGTGCCAAAGGCAACACAAGTACCTCACTCACATAGCTTTCTTTGTCCAACAGAAAGATACACTGTCCCATTATATTTGAATGTTAACAAAAAACAAAACGTTGTTTCTTCTCTCTGCCTTCCAGAGTTGTTGGGAATTTGTGGGATTTTTTTGGTGTTTTTCTGTTTTGCTCTAAAAGGACACATACATCTCCATCTGTACTTTAGCATTCTCACCTCATCATCATCAAAGAGACCTGTGCCACCACTGAAGAGACCACCCTTAGAACCAAATGGTGTGAAATCTTCATCAGTCAGCTTAGGAGGCTTGAAGATGTCATCTTCATCATCTAGAAAGCATGAGAGACAAGACTATTGACTGAGTTTCAGGAAAGGGAATAAAGAAACAATCGAAACAAAAATTAGTTTGATTCCACCCCTCTCTCTTATAAACATGATATGTATGGAGAAGCTGCTGTAGATCTCTCAGGTTGTTTGTGGCTACTCCACAACGTTACATTTAAGGTGAAACTCTCACTGGACCTGTTACTGACCATCTTTTGCACACGCACACAACCTCCTGAAGGACGCTCACTGATATCCTGCCCAGTTTCTACAGCAAATACCATGTTTTCTTAAGCAGTATCTTACAATTCAACCAACTGAAGAGCAAGACAGGAGGAAATCTTACCGTCTGATGGAACTTGAACTTCCTTCTTTTCTTTTGGAGTTTTCCTTGATTTGACCTCTGGTGACAGTGCTGTAAGAAGAATTCAAAGTGTAAATGAAATAATCTATCTTTACTTGTAACCTGTGCTTGACCTACGATTAAAAAAAATCTCAAAAAGTAATTTAAACAAAATATATCAGCCCAGTAAAGCAATTCTCTATAGTACAAGCTCTAAAAATGGCACTTAAAATTATAATGGCAACATAGTTATTCATACTGTGACTAATGGTGACTAGTATCACCCGAGATGTCAGAGAGAAATACAGCATTACAGATAGTACAGATCCCACACAGGGCACACAGAACCTTGGATGTCTCTGGCCACATATTATGCCTTGATGGAGTTACTTAAGAATAAATTTCACTCCTCTCTTTCTCATCGCTCAGCAAGGTTATTTCAATTAACAGAAGATTAGCCTGTAACTGAGCAAGTTAAGCTGTTAAATTTTACATTCCAATATCCAAGATCCTAACTTGATAGTTCGAATCAAGCAAGAACAAATAAATGTACTAACTCTGAGAGTAAAAATGACAAATACAAGGCAAAAGCAAGCTCATGAGCACTCTAGAACTTAATTTCAGTTCATTTATGTTCAACTGCTGTTTTGCTGTAAGAATAACTACATGAGAATGGCCTTGCCATTTGAGATTGAAGTAAAAGTAAATGAAGTAATTATTTATTCTAATATATCAGTGAAAACAACAGGACTGACAAGTTCCTCAAAACACAGCATATTTAAGCCAAATACAGCAGCAGAAAAAATAAACAAAACCATGTCCCATGAAAGCAAACTACTTCTTGAGGGCTTTTTTGAGCTCTAAAAAAGACCACAGCAACCAGTGCTTTCACATACTTGCCTTAAATACGGGGAAGGATATGTGGTCAAATGTGCAGCTGTTTTACATACTGATGGAGAATTAGAGTTAAGAGAAAATATTTATAACACGTGCATCTGAGAAGCGATCTGTCTCATCTGAAAGCAATGAGTTTTCTCAGCAAATTCCAATTCATTCCTATAAGTTATGACCAAAATGTTTTTCAGAGCAGAAAACAGTTACAATAGTATTTTTAATTCCTCCTATTAGGCCTTCAACTAATACATGCTAAACAATAGATTTGTGTAATTTCAAATACTGTTACCAAATTCTCTTCTCCAACAGCCTCAGGAGTTCTCCACCATCTCACAGCCATTCATCAAAACTTAAGAGTAAACTTACACGAACGCTCTTCCTCCTGTTTAACTGGTATTTCTCCTTTGATTCGGGCTGCAAGCTCATCTGCAAATGACGTTGGCCTTTTCTTTTTCTGAGGGGCAGGGGCAAATAGCCATATAATTATTCTACTCAATCCCAATGCCAGTTTGAAGTACTTGCAATTATGCAATCATAAATACAGTACAGCACAGCCTCATTTATACAATTTCCTATTTAGTCTTCAATAGAAAGGGTAAGTAAGGATTTTAAGAAGGAAATTAAGAGATTGCGTGCATCAAAGAAAAGCCATTTGTAGTCCTTTATGGTTATAAAATTTTTAACATCACCTGAATTAGGGAATATAACAAACAAGAAGTATTTATCATACCCAAAATACGACAATTTCTTAACGACATTTAAAGCGGTTTTGATTCCAGATTAGGGTGCAGGAGTCCCCTAATTTCAAGGGACAAAGCATGAATAATCACATTGAAAGAAGATTCTCACGGGTCCTCTCTACCAGGTATACCCACTTCAGGTATCCAAGAGCTACCACTATAATCACAACCAAAGACAAATTTTTCATGAAACAACCTCAAAACCTATCCTCGTGGAGAGGCACTAATCACTCACAGGTCTTGTGGTTTCCTCAAAGTCTCCATCCTCATCTTCTTCTTTTTCAGAGTCAAAGAGATCACAACCATCATAATCATCTTCATCACTCATCTGGGCTGTCCTCTGAGAAAAGAAATAATACCCTGTTGTCCTCTCCTCAAGTTGGCATACAAAAGGCACGAGTACAAATTTCTGCCTGCTTAGATAAAACATTCAGAGCAAACTTACTGAAAGGATGGAAACATTCAGCCAGTTTGGGGGTACTGAACAACTTTTCAGATGTAAGGAGAGAGTGCCTGTAGCTGCAAGCAACTAGTTGTGTTCTCTAGTACACTCCTGGGCTGCCTCACCAAACGCGAAGCCTGTGCTCACAAGGAGCATGCACTGAAGGTGAAACTCTCACTGGACCTGTTACTGGCCATCTTTTGCACATACACATAAAAACTGTTTGAAAAACTGTTCTTCCAGTCCTGAATCTTCTCAGACTGAGGGTTGCCAGCATAAGCCTCTTTTCCACTGACACCTTTAAACATGGGTAATATTCCTTCCCCTTGCCAAGGTAGCTACCTATTCCCAACAGCTGAAATTAGATTCAAATTTTTCAACCTAAGCATTTCTTTTCCCCTTTTCATTTGTTATCCAAATAATTATGCTTTTCAAATGTTTCACACTGTTCTCATCTTTGATTTCAGGTCGTACTCAGATTGCATTGTTCCTTACTTCCTGTATCACAAATTCAGAATTGTAATCAGACACAGTAATCCCTCGGAAGCCAACTTCTCATGGGGCTGATTCTTTCAACTCCCAGTGCTCCAAAGTTATTCCTGAGAAAAACACACATCATGCAGTGCCACTGAACATATACTGTGCATCTAATGATGGCTGACAAGCATGCTTTAAAGCCCAACAAAGGTTCATACATAGTACACGCCATCTGATCAGGACGGCCTACTCATAGAAAGTTCTACAAATCAGGCTTAACCAAGGCTTTCAATTGCTAATTATCCCGGGGTCTGATCTCCTCTTTTTTGCATTCTCACTGTGTCTCAAGCAGAAAGTCTTTCAGGTTGTACCAGGGCATATAATTATACCATCTTTTGGTCATCCTCACTCGGGTTTCCAAACTCGTCGTCTGATTCCTGGAACACAAGAGACCCAAAGACAATTATCACACATGCTTTATTCAGTGGTCAAAGGAGTGGGCTCAGAAGCTCCGGACTTGCTTAAATCTGGATACTTTTCATCTCCTCACCCCAATCAGACCACATAATTGTTTGACTGCTACTGAATATCTTTCTGAAGAGGAACTTACTCAAGTTTCATTAACTTTGCCAAGTAAACAAACTTCATCTGACAGTGCATTCGAGTAACTAACTCAAAAGGCATTTAACTCTAATTGAGCAAAGATACCAAGAGTAAACTCCTGAGGATAAAAGCAGTGCTTACACAGCACAGCTACAAACCACAAATATTCCAGGTAGACAAAATGTATCAGAAATTGACAGTCCAATGCACTGGATTCACAGGGCCAAGCCTGGAGGAGAATCACTGAAACCTGTTTGAACTTATTCCTGTTAGTTCACAACCCATTCTTTGCCACAGTAACTTACAACAAATTTGTCAATTCTTGAATTCTCACACAAGAATAGAATTGTTTTGCTTCACAAAGTGAAATTAGACTGAATAAAACATTTCACTTTGAAATATTCTACTATAGCATTAGTTAGAGCCAGTAACACATTACTCTCCTGAAAGGCTGCAGAGAAAATTACTCCATAAGAACAGTAACAGAAAAGCACATTTACCACAACAGATATAAGAAGGAGACACTGCAATATTGTTTTGAGACTCCAAATGAAAAAGTGAGGCAGTTAATGGCCTCACATCTAAATAAGGACTCATGAACACTTATGCAAAGCAGCTACTTTTTCATTGCTTACCTCTTCATCCTTTTCTTCACTGTCAAGTACACTTCCACGATCACTATCAACTGATCCTTCTATTTTAGATGAAAACAAAGGTTAGGATCAGACATGACATCTCTACACAGAGCTTGTTGGTCACCAGATATAATTACTGCTACATTAAAAGCTTTGTGATGAGAAATAAAAATCAGAAGGATAAGAGTGGTCTGAAAGAGCTTTGTAGGCTGCTGAAGTTCTAGCATTCTGTGTTTCAAATACACTGGGCAAGACTTACTGACAACTCATTCACATATTGGAAAGGTGGTTGTGACAGCATGACTCAAGGTTTTCTGTAACTATTTTCAGTATGTACCCAAACAGGCAAAAACAACTATGCAGTATGTCACAAGCTATTTAGTTAAAACCAAAAGACCAAAGTTTCAGATTAGGAATTACTTACTCCAAGAGAAATCAAAATTTATGCAAGCACATACCCTCACTAGTCAGATCTCCAAGGCCAACATCATCTTGTTCCATGAACTGCTGAGAGCCAATCAGGTAAGGTAAAGGTCTGTCAATATAGAGATCCTAGAAAGAGACAACATCAAGTCTTTCTGACAGGTAGGCAAAGCTCTACATTGCTGACGAAGACAGAAGTCCTACAGCCCTTGTTATAACATGAGAAGGATACAAGCTTATTTCAAAAGAGTCTCAGAAACATTCTTCAAGTGGTGTGGGCCAGTTGAAATTCCCTCTTGACACTATCTCTGCTTACATGGTCCCAGTATGTTTTCTAGATGATATCTACCAAAAAAAAAATCTTGCAAATTCTATCTCTAGGATTCTTAATTACTAGGACAGTAAAAACTGACTAAAAAAACATGACATTTAAAGGTCTCATTCCACCCAGAACTCAGGTAGTGAACTTCCCAAGTTCACTCCCATTCAATTAAATCTCTTTAGGGCCACCACTCATCAATGCTAACCCAACTGCAAGACAAGCAGGCTATTAAAGAAATAGCTCAGCACACAGCATTTCAGTTTTACATATAGTCACCAAATCTTCTTTTTAGGTAAATAACATGAATTTGATAACAATATAATATTACTGCTGACAGAAATGAAGAGCAAGTCCAATAAAAGAAACACAAATCCAATCCTCCCAGCAAAAACAGGTCTCTGTACCTTTGGTTCAAGTATCAGTTCTACCCTCTCATTACTTTCTTCCTCTTCTGAGTCAGAGTTGCCTGCTTTGATGTCTAGCTGTTCAAATGCACTGTCCAGAACTTGCAACCCATAATTCACTGCTTCTTGTATTTTGGGGATTAGATCAGCTTCTTTCTGTTCCCGTGTCTTTTCCTTCAACAGGAAGAATATTGTCATTGCATTTTACTCAAGATTCAACCTCACTGCAACACGCATGCAAAAATCTGATTTCAAATTAGTACGATGAAAGTCTTTCACTGTATGCAAGAGAAAGATCTTCATGAGCTTTGAGGGTTGTTTTTTTGTTTTGGTTTGGTTTTTTTTCTTTGACTTAATTCACCTTTTTCAACCCTATAAACTGACACGTTTTAAACACCCACACTAACACAACACTTTCCTTTTTTGTGCTCCTTCACAGGAACCTTTATGTGATAATACACCAAGACTATAAGATATATATAGAAAGCTCTGAGTTTTCATTCCTGGTAATTGCAGTCATATTCTACTAATTCACAACATTTGAATCCAGAATCTTCAATTCTTTTCCTAGAAAAATACACACAGCTGTTGGAAAATAAACGTCTTGTCTATCACATTACAACATCGAAACTGGAGAGGGGAAGACCCTAAAAGATTACCATACGTTGCAGGAGCTTTCAAAGTTATTGTTAATGTTGTGTTTGAATGACATACACCATAAAGAGTAAAGACATTGTGAAGAAAGTTAACAGTTTGATTTGTAAGCACCCATGTAAGATGAAGTTAGCTACCTGCTCTGCTTTCTCCCCAGCATCTGTTTTGGTTATAGATTCTTCCACTTCTTCATCGTATACTCGCTAAAAAAGTCAAGGAAGATTAATGAAATAAGAGCAACAAACTGTTACAAGGGCTAAATCATGGGTATCATGAACAAAATAAAATTACAAATTAATTCATGAGATATTAAAAAAGGCATAGATGATGCTAGGCATCTTCATAGCATTCTTTCACGCACTGCAGCTATTATGAAGGTCCTACCACTAGCCTCTCAATCCAACTAAGGTGATTCAAGACCACACATGACATTGCAACAGCAGAAGGCAAGCTGAGCATTTAACCCCTTTTACAGACTAAGTTAATGCTAAAACAAAAACAAAAAAAACCACGAAATTATTACAGCACACAGACTGTTTTAACTCCCTATTATTAAGCTATTTTAGAAGCCTTCAAAAGTAAGCCTAATTTACTTATGGGCAGTTGGGTTCTGTTTTCTAACAGCTTTTCTCTTTCTTTCCTGTTTGCCATTACAAGGAAAGGTCACATCCCTCCCCAGCCCTCAGCATGTTCTGGAGATTGCTCTATCCAGCACTTTGAGCACTCTCTTGCAGGATCAGCTATAGTTTGAACCTGCAAACCTGAATCCACATCTCTCAAAACATAGGTGGCTGTTATCCCCTCAGAAGAGACAGATCTCTCTTGCTAAAGTGCAACCTAGAAGTGATGACTGTTTTCTGCGCACTTACAATTGAGCAAAAACAATCTAAAGCATCCAAGATTTAGAATGTTTGGTACAAAATCATAGTCATTTGAGTCAGAAGAGACCTTTAAAAGCCATCTAGTCCAACTCTGCTGCAATGAACAGGGACACCTACAGCTCCATCAGGTGCTCAGAGTCTCATCCAGCCTGACCTTGGATGCCTACAGGGGTGGAGCGCCCACCGCTCTTTGGGCAACCTGTGCCAGTGCCTCACCACCTTTATAGTCAAAAATATTTTCCTTTTATTCAATCTGAATCTCTCCTCTTTTAGTTTGAAAACATTTCCCCTCATCCTTTCGCCACAGATCCTGCTAAAGAGTCTGCCCCCTTCTTTCTTACGGCCATTAAGCTGAACAGCGAAGGTAGGCCAGAAGAGAGATCGTAACATTGAAAATAAATACCAGTAACCCAGATTTTCAGCACCTCATCCTCTGCCAGCATCTGTCCCACGACAGCATTATGGCTCCAGAGGAGACACACGGCCTGCGCACAACGCTGATCAAGACAAAGTGCTCGGTAAAAGCTACAGCTGGGGGGGAAGCCTACAAACCCGGCAGGCCGTTACAGCTCTGCGTGCGGTACAGCCGCGCTCCCGGTGCGCGCCTACTCACGTTCTCTATGAACTGCGTGTTGGACAGCATGAGGAAGTCGTTGAAGACATTGTGAAGGCGGCAGTCGGCGGCTTTCGTCTCACTGATCAGCCCGTCCACCTGCTTCTTGATCTCGTGGGTCCTGGAGATGGTTTGCTGGGAGAACTCTTGCAGGAAGCGCAGGAGCTGCGTGGGACGGGAAGCGGCGCTCAGGGCGGCTCTCGGGGCGGCTCCGCGCACCGCGGGCGCTCACGCAGCCGAGACCGCACAGCGCAGCGTCCGCTCACCCCCGCGTCCGAGGCCAAGGACCAGCTCTGGCTGCCCTTACGGATCTCCTCCAGCGACCAGGGCCGCTCCCACACGGGCGCCGGCTCCGCCGCATCCTGCGCGCCGTTCATCTGCGGGAGAAGAGCGGTGAAGCGAGAGAGAGACGGGGCCCGGCCCGACCCCGCCCGCCCGTGCGCTCACCCTGACCGCGGGCCGCCCCGCGCCGCGCTCCCGGCAGTCAGCTGAATGCTGTCACGTGATCCGCCGCAAGGCGCTGCGCGGCACGGCCCACCCCGAAGCCGCCGCCCCGCCCGGCCCAGTTCCGTGCGGTTCTGCGCCACGGCCGGCAGGGGGCGGGCCGGCGCCGCGGGCGGGAGGAAGACTGCGGTCAGGGCCGCCTCGAACCCCCTTGAAGCATCCTGACAGCTCTGCATCTCGTGTGTTCTTCATTACAAGTGAATTAACAAGAAGGAATATAGCAGTAACATCGTGCTCTCCCTGCTGGGAACGAAGTCCTTCATGCAAACAGTCAGTCTAGGGCAGCCCTCGCTAGTACTACGTGGAGTTGCTTTATTTGTTGCACTGAACTGCACTCGGTGAGGAAGCAGAGCACTGGCTGATCTCTTAAAATAAGACAAAGCACCATCTCCAGGTTCCCATCCATTGATTTCGATGACCACATCCAAATACCTGAGGGAGATGGCTGGATTAGGGCCAGAAGAACATCTAAAAGAAAAGCATCACTACATTCTTTTCAGTGACTTTATAAGCATTACTGAGCTGGGTCAATCCTTCAACCTTAGAAGAGATTCAAGAATTTTTATGCGTTGATGATAAAGCAGAAAATCAAAAATATTCCATGTGGAAAAATGTTTGTTCAGGCTGGTTTCACAACAGGGTCTTGAGCAAGCCCCACATATGGGATTAATCTAAAGTTATTCTCCAAGGCTTTTAGTGTTTTGCCATAGTCCCTTCCTCTGCAATATTCCAAAACCCAGCAGACTTGCCTTTCCTTACTTTCCATATCCACTGAAATACAGAACGGAGCCCAGCAAGCTCTTGGTGGATAATGCAGGTTTGTGTACCAGCACATGACAGAATGTGGGGTTTATGTGCTCTATGGGTTGTGATACTGCAGGGTCTTTCCATCAGGCAGATTCAGTCTAGGGACCCTGTGAGAATTAGTGACTAGGGAAAGAAAACCAATATGGAATACTCCTTAGGGGCAGTTGTTTGAGACACACAAACGGTTTTCTGAGCAGACAGGGCTACAAAGAGCACAATACAAACCTACTTTCTAGAAGGTGCAACCCAAATATTGTTGTCAGGCACCTGAAAAGCTTTTCAATCCTAAAACCCCTTCTAGAGAAGAATTTAGCTGTATTGATTGTAAAGGTTAGAGAGAAGACAGAAACAAGAAAGATCAGTTGTGGTTTTCCTCAGAACTTGAAAAATAAATATGCAGTGCAGAGGTGTCAATAATCACATTTATTATCAGGGCCTGACCTGCATGCTGAGAAATAGAACATGCCAGATTACATAGAGCTGAGCTGCCTGGTTACCCACATTTACAGGCATGCCAGGTTCCCTAAAGACTTGTGGGGCAGGACAGAGGGCTTCTGAAATCAGGCAAGAGGACAAGCTCTTTCTTGCATGGCCATAAGGAGTAGTTACAGCAGACTGATCCTCTGTCATTCGGGCAGTCTCACTGCTCTGCTTTGTGCATTTACTGCAGCAAGAGGAGCCAGAAATCTTCTAGTGGGCTCTGAACGACTGCAGTAAAAGTGTTTAAGGCAGTCAGACCATTAGAAAGTTACTGGAAGTCTTTGTGGATTGCAGAGGTGGGCCAGAATACAAGACATGAAGGTTTTCAAGAAAACAATCTGGCAGCAGTAGCAATGAAAGATTATTTCTCAAGGGTGAAGGCTTGCTTACATATAGACTTAGCATCAGTAATAAGCCTGAAATGACAATTGGATCTGTGATTTCTCAGCTGAGCTGGGGACATGTGTTTGAGGTCTGCCTCTTCAATATACTGATGAAATTAGCTGAGGTTATATTGAGCAACTGGGGGCTCATCTTAGGTGGCTTTCTCTTGACTGAAGTCCCTAGCTTCTGTCATGTGGAAACCAAGGCCTTGGGTGGAGTAAAAAAGGGTGGGATAAGTACAACAAACAGTTGAAGGTATCCAGACCAAAGAGCACAGTAGGACTCATTTATCCACCAGTTTAAGTGTAGATTATCTTGACCACAAGCACATTCCTTATGTTCACAAAGAAACAGCTGCAAAAATTAATATAAAAGCAATTGCAAAGCAAAGGAGGAAATTGTGCATTTACATTCTTGCACAAGCTTACAGATGGTCTTCAGTGGCATCCACAATAATTTCCACAGGTTCATGGAACTTGCACAGGACTTCTAGTAACTGTGGAAGGCTAAAGACAAGATGATACAAAGTTGTAAATCATTTAGAGGCTGATGTTGTGTATATAATCACAGCTTGTTATTTCTGTACAACTTCTGCAGAGCTGAGAGTAAACATTTTTGTTTGGAATGGATTGTGGCTACTCTTAAAGCAAGCAGTAGGTTACTTTGTCCAAAAAATACCCTCAAAGCAACACGGACAGCTTTAAGGGAGATAATGAGTATGCTATATTCACTCAATTCTAACCCATATGCAACTGTCTTTAATACAGAACAATTACAGAACACATCAACAGATTATGAAGAAATATTCTGAACTATACATGATTATTAGGATCTGATTTTTCAAGCATTCATATGAAGCATTTATTCACAGTAGTGTTTGTTCATGAGTAGTTTACAGCTTATACTGGACATACACTTAGTCATGATGTGAAATTCAATATACATTTAAATTTAGTTCTCTCTTCTTGATAATTCATGGTAGTGATATACCAAAGCACTAACCTGGGTAAAAATTATGTGATATTTTTTTCTGTGGGTAAAACGTTTTCAGAAGTACTGCTTTCTTGTTACCTTAAATGTGAAATGTTAACAAAAGCTTGAAAGACACAGCACATGATTAATCTCACAAATGTTTACAAAGTGAAAAATAAAGGAGAATACCACAGCCAACTTTCCCAATAGCTAACACAAAGTAAATATGTTTTCAATAATTTTAGAACAGGATGCAAACAAAAGAAACAGATGAATTACAGTAAAAAGATAAACTCCTTTATCATGCTAGGAAAAAGAACAACAAAACCCCAACAGTCAAAACCACAGATCACTCATTGTTCTTCATTTTCTCTGGCACTCCTCATTTTTATGCACATGTTGCTTTGTATGGTTTAGTATGGGCATACAGTGAGACATGATGGTCCAAACCCTGCAATTACCAGAACCTGGGAGTGGCTACTGAAGTCAGGGCTGGAGGATATCTCAGTGTCCTGTGCAGAGTGTAGAAAGGATTATCTATAGCTGGAAATAAATACAAAATGCATAGTCAACGGACCAACACAGGGGTCTGAAGCTCCCAGGGGTACTTACTTCTTCCTCTGCTTTTGATTCATTACTGGTTAATGTGTGATGGAACGCACCATTCACATACCAGACAATTCGTCTTAGGGAATAAAAAATTAGCTGACCTTTCATTTAAAATAATTAATTACAATCTGTGTTTCAGAAACAAGCAGATTATGATTACCCACCATCACCTGTAAGACCTCAGCTCCAGGCACTGAGTGAAAATGGAATGGATTTTTCTTAGTGCAGTAAGTTGTCATGCAAGTGGGAAAACACAGAAACAGAGCGTATAACCTCATTCCAGATGACTGATGTCCTAAGGAAGGAAAAAGAAATCCGGAGTGGAAGTACTAACCCCCTAAAAGAACATTGGTTTGGATCCACATTACTTTGCTGGCTCACCACAGGAGAACCATGTGGCTTTTGATCCCCAAAGTTCACCTCTGCTGGTAAAATCATGACCATTACTCTGGAGTTCCTTTGCTGTGGGGTAGGATTGGGTAATGTGTTAGGAGGGGGGCAATGTGAGCATTAGGATCTACAGTCCTTTGTAGTCAGAATGTACATTCTCAAACTTGTCACCACTGGCGTGCTTAGGTGAGCTACTAAAGTCAAGCATCACGTCGATACTAGAATCAGCAAATAAAAAGCTGGTTGCCCCCTTCACTCTTTACCGAAACTTTGAAATACTAAACTAAAAGGAGCAGTGAAATTACAAAATCACACATCCAATATCAGTTGATATATCAACTGGATAAAGCAACAAGGAGGCAAGAAGGCTGTTGGTTTATGTTTCAGCAAAGCCTTTTAACAAGCTTATGCCTGAGAACAAGGAGCGGCTCCTCTGGAAACAATGAAACGACCTGTGTGTCTAAAGTCAAGCTGCAAGCGCTTTGTTTCAAATGCTAAGATCTAATCTGAAGAATGCAGAAGTTTTTGTTACTTAAGCTAAAATCTCCATTCCCACTGTGTACACAATTTATTTTTCTGAATCACTTCTGTACAAATATTTATTTGCATGGTCTATGTATCTTAGATGTAATCAGCAGTGAATGTTGCAAAATCCTTGCTCTCCCATTGATTATCAGCCCACCACAAGGACATCTGTCCTCTAGCTGTGCAGGAGCTCAGGAGATTGTTGATGATGGACAGTAAGAACACAGATTACATTTAAAAAGTAGGGAAAAGCATATTTAGTTTTATGTGAATTCAGAAGCAGCAAAATTATATGACTTCATTAGATGATTAGCTGAAAGGAGCCAGAAGGGAAATACAGCTGCAGGGTACTTCTAGGGGCATACTGAAGAATTCTAAGTGTTGTGCATGCACATTCATACTAGAAATGTTGCTTCTAAAGATATTCAAGGATTGTTAACAGACTTTTTAATTGATGGTGATGGTGTGCAGTTGCAGTGCATATATCAGTCCTGACAAACAGGAATGGTACAATAAAACTAGTCTAGCAGATCGTAATATGACATTTCCTTCCAAGAACATAACTGAACTCTTGCTTATACTTAGGGTTACTATGGCTTAACAATAATGAATTTGAACTAGCTCATTTAAACCAGTGCAAAAACATTGTTACACATAAAATGAATCTCTCCAGCAGTTGAACTGAGTTTACTTGAACAACTATTGCCAAAGTACTCCTTGAACCTGGTGCTAGATTTAAGTGAGCATGAAGTTTACTAGACTTAAAATGGAAGAAAGGGTCTTATATCAGTTTAACTAGAAGGTTTTTAAATGGACTGGAAGTGAAACCAGGGGAGTAAGGCTTTTCTTTCTCTTTCCAGCTCTGAGTGCACTCGGCAAAAGTCCCAATAACAGTGGGTCACCTTGAGCTGCAAAGCATCGGTGGGCGGTGAAGCAGGACTGGGGGGACAGGACAAAGCTAAATGGCATCACCTTTCATTCTGCCACCCTAAATCAGCCCAGTGGGATTTCACGCACACTTCAATTCAGCTCCTGTTAACTGAATCCCTTCCACCTTGCTTCCCACAGCTGCTAACTGCCTCGTGTCCCCTGCTGAAGATCTGCTCACCCAGCCAGATCACAGTTTGCCCAGGCAAAGACACCTGATATTATGAATGACTGCCACTGGTTCACCACAGACTGAATAAATAGTTGCTTCTCAAAATTACAGTGTCATACTGGGCTGCCTACTGGAAATCCCAGAAAAGTATTTCTAACTACTAGAGAAGCAATACCACTACAGCTGGTCAGGATGAGCTTGTCAGGTATTCCTTTGGGTGTCAGTGCTTCTGTGAAAGTGCTTTCTGAGAAATGGAAGGAGACTGGAGATTTAGCAGCATTCAGCTTGGAAACTAATGAAGCTCCAAGTATGAAATCCTTAGCAGTTTTTTATACCAGCAAAGCCTTAAAATATTTCCTGATTTCTAGTGGTCTTAGTCAGACCTTCAAGGTAGTTTTGTCTCTCTTCTTCCTATGTGAGAACTAGCATGGTATTACAGAAGAAATAATTCTTCCAAAATAAGTGTATTAAATTCAGCTCAGTGGAGATGTACCCAGATCTAGTCTTCAGGAAGAGGCTATGGAAAGAATTTTCTGAAAGCAACATCTGCATATCCTGAGACAAGAGGTACAAAGACAACCAGAGGAACACCACCAGCCTACCTACACTAAGCAGCATGTCTGGCAGGGCTCCAGTGTGTTGATCAAAAACCCACTAGCAGAAGAATAAGGTGTTCTGAATAACAAGTGCCTTGAAAGCAAAACCAGTCTTGCTTTGAGCTGTCTATGAAAAACCACAAAAGGACTGGCATAAAAATCCTTGTCAAGCCCATGGTGACCTGGGGTCAACAAATCCTGAATGTGGTAGGTGAAGGGAAGAGAATAATGCAGAACTGATGCAAGCCACAGGTTAGTGCACATGGTCTGAAGTTTCCCTATGCTTTTGTGAGTTATTTGTATCTAGTGATCACAGAACCCTTAGAGTTGGAATGGACCTTTGAAGGCCACCAAGTCCAACTTCCCTGCAGCTGTGATCTGTGAGAAAATATGAAATCCTTGTTGGTAAATTTTGCCAGATAGTTTTTAATGCGACAAAGAATGACTAAGTGAGGTTGTCTTGATCATGAAATAAACTGTGCTTGGTTAATCCTCCATGCTTTAGTGATTTTATACATTTTATAGAAATAGGAATTTTACAGGAGTTTCAGTGGGCCTGAAAAGAATTCGGGGATGGAAAGACAATATTATGTACCTAAAACATACTAGAAAAATATGTGCTTAAGACAGCAATTATGACCCTTGGGTGTGTATACAGGAAATACATTATTATCTCTTTTCATAATATCTGTGGTCATTTTGAAGCACTGGCAAACTTCCATGCCTCTTTCTCTAATCAGTTATGAAATGAGATGCTGTCAAATTGGAAAATGTTTGGAAATGGGACACAGGAATGAAAGAATCAGTGCTACCCACCCATAGACTAAAAAAACAGTGTAAGCATCTGAAAGAAGTTATATTTGATTTCATAGTCTGTAAGTACAGAAAAAGGGAAGATTCAATGATAACAGACTATTACTTGGAATGCAGGAAGCAAAGGATGAAAAAGGAAAGTTACTGAATTTTGTCATTGATGTAGAAAGTTTTTAAACACACTAGAATGACAACAAAAAGAGACAGGTGCGTAGTCTGCAAAACGGAACGCTTATGAGCTTTTCATAAATTAGGTATTTTTTTACTAAGAGATTATCAAAACTGCAGAGACTTCAGTTTCAGCATTTTCTTTAAGAAGGTCATGGAATTCTGATGTGATGTACTTCTTTGTTGTTGTTGTTATTCCTGCTGAGTTCTTTAGAATAACTACATCCAAAACTCAATTAATTATTAGTGGTGCTCAGAAATAGGCAATATGAGGAAGTGAGTGAATGATATTTTCTCTTTCCGCCACTCCAATCTATTTACAACTCCATGAATTATTTAACCAACTATTAGAATAAATAAGCCCAAACTGAGCGTATGATACAGACAGATATTATTGGTTTTACTTGTTCAAACTTTCTGAATGTAATCATATACCCTATTCTGATCTGGTGTTGAATTTCCAGTAGGAAATTTAATGCATAATTCAATGCATAATTTTCTATTTCTCGCTAATATTTATAATGAAATATTTCTTTTTTGAAACATAGGCAGGGCCACAGTTTGTTTCCTTCTGAAGAGAGGTTGCAGGAGTATGAGAAAGAGTATTTGATTGGCACTCTGATGTTTCCCACTGCTTGGAAAAGCATTCTGCACTTATAAAAATGGCCACATAACTTATCACAAGCATGCATGATACAGTCTGCAAAGTCCCACAAGAAAAGCAAGTATTTGGTTTGTGAAATAATACTTCTTTTGGATGAAGTTAAAGAGAAATTTTGTGGTGTGGTCCCGCTTTGACCAACATCTGATTGTTAAAAAGTTTAATACCAGAAATCAACAATTTTGGTTATCTTACAGTGCATGCACTAGTATTAAATACGAGTATCCAAAGATCTGGCAAGAGATCTCTAAGTTACTCCTGATTTTCTTCTCCAATCATGTTCCAGCCCACTAAAAGAAGAAATTGTCAGCAAGAATTTTGCCACATCTGCAAATCATTTGGACTAGCCAGTACAGCACTGTCTACAGCTTACATATCAATACTTATATTTTATCAAAAAGGTTTTTTTTTTTTAAAATTTATTTATTCATAAAGCTTCCAAGAGAATCTTTGTTCGAGGTTCAGCTCTTTACCTAGGTCAGTGCTCCACAGAACCAAACATTTTCTCATTGCCAGCTGGCAAAATTTCAGCAGTTTGTTCAGAAATTTCAACATAAGTGGATTTGAGCTGAACAAGCTATTTTTCTAGACTTAAATTGCTCAGTGTAAAGGCATCTTAAAATATCTGCTTTCAGATTCCACAGAAAGCACTTGCAGAGACCTTCTGGAGATTTGGACCTCTCTGGAAGCTGCACATTACACAATGGTGAGTAAAAGGCTTAGACTATTTTTAAAGCAGGGTACAGATCACTATTTGCTTTGAAACTGAAACAGAGGGATATTTAAAAGAATCACCTAATTATGCATTTTTAGGTGTGGGTATATTCCCCTAAAAACTGCCTGAAGATGTCAAGAAATACACTGTTAAGAATATTACTATGATTTTTAGGTTTTTTTGCTTTGTAATTATTTGAGGAAAAAACAACAACTGTATGTATATCACTGGGTCTTTGATCTGTTGTTACCTTTTTCTCCAAATTGTCTGTGAAAATATTCACAATTCCATGGACAGTTAGAACGATGCTTTCTAAATCTATAGGTGTGAAACACAAGATTCACTTTACAAGGAAAAGTATAGTACTGTGTATTCTGTCTGCTTTTCTCTTTTATCAAGACCTGTCCTGTTTCAGCTTTCCAAGGCTTCAAATGTGTTTGCAGAATCTGAATCATCAGTTAGACATTGCTAAATAGATAGACAAGTCCTAGTTTTCTCTAACTTATGCTTACCTAGTTTCACAAACTACTGACATTAATTACTATCTCTGATGACAATCTGTGGTATGAAGTAAATTTTACAGAAGAGGTAGCAGTTTCTGTGACATATGTAGATTTGGAAATGAAGGGAGAAATTATCATCTACTTATTTCTCTGCTTAATTTTCCTTAGAGCTCGATGGTACTCATTGGAATAAACTTAGCTGGTCAAGGTGATTTGTCATTTCATTCCACATCAGTTCATCCATCCACTTGCAGAAGACTGTTCTGCAAGATGGTTGGTAGCATTCCCTTTGTAAGAGAGAAAATAAGTAAAAAAGATTCCTTGAAGTGCCATGCTTTTGAAAGCCCAGAAAAACAGAAGCCAGATATAGAACTAAAAGTCCTTGTCATTAATGTAACTAAAATAACATCTCTCAATTAAATAAATAATGTCATTTCTACCAGTGCTCTCTTACCCTTTTGATCCTCACTGCTCAGTCTGCTTCCTGCTAGCTGTCTGTTACTTAGCTCATGTATCCTTTGGTCATTCCAGGAAAAGACCAGTTCAGAAGAGATCAAACACCATGCGCTTCCCTTTCTTTGTGTTTGGATTCACTGCTGGGTCCAGAACTTTGTTCTTTAGAAAGAGAAACATGCCTGATTTCATTTGACTTGCATTTCTTTGGATAGCAAGATAAGGACAACTGCTGGAGCAAACAAAGGATAAAACATTCACAGGACCATTCCATAGTCCCTTCACCTTCCTTTCACTACACTGTAAACAATCCCTCTGTCCTGTAAGAAAGCAGCACTTCAAGAATTAACATAGCAAGTGTCTTCCAACACAGAGGAGGTTTCCCTTGTCTCATCATGGTTCAGAACTTTCCATTATTTTTTCACTTTTATGATTTAAGTAACTCAAGGTGGGCAGCAGAGCTACCTAAAAGCAAAGACTCACACTGATATTTTTAATCATGCTTCCAAGTAGAAGCAACTTCTGCAGTTCTGAACAGTGACTTGGAAAGACCTTTTCATATTACAAAACTACTGTGTGAGTCTGCAAGTGCTATCAAGAAAATTGAAGTACATTCCCCACTGCTTCTCAGCTTCCAGCCTTTTCTAAACTCTTGCCTAAATTTATCCATCTCAATTAATTCATCAAATAAATCCTGTGCTCCAGTCTCTGTACTCCCATAAGTGCCTCTACAAAGTTATGCAAGTCTTTCCAAAGAAGTCCCGGATGTCCAGAAGGTCCCAGCTGACATCTCCAAAAAGCTCTTGCAGCTGTTTAGCTGTTGCCACCAATTAGCATGAAGGATGCACGATTCTCTACCCAGATCTGCGTGTGTGGTTTGACATTGTTCAAATGCTGCTAAGTAGAATATAGACTGATATTCTGCCCTAAGGCACTAATCTATGTCTCTCTTCTCTATCCAGCCACTTATTAGTAGAATTTAATTAGCTATAAGGTTCTCTTCTACTGCCACATTCAGAGAAATTGCTGTGCTCAAAAGCAAAACAATGGGTCTGCTACACAGTCCGATTTACAGGAGAAATAGCTACATCTGAATCAAAGGCAATTAAAAATAGAGATAAGAATCTGACAGGGTTTTGAAGTGTAAACCTCTATGGAAGCTTTTGGTGATTTCTGGAGATTGGACTTTGACAGGGAGCGATGCTGCAGCCAAAATTGTCATGTGATTTTGTCTGTTGTCACAAGGAAAATCAGTGCTGTGAAAGATGTACAGTTCCCTTTTAAAACATATTCATGTTCATATATGGTTATTCCTAATTCCCGTTTCAGGTTCAGTGACTTAGATTTTTGGAATAATTACAATCAAAGTGGAATTAAATTTATGATCTGTATCTCTTTTACAGAAAATCCTTCTGGCCTTCCTTCTTGCAATGGGCATCATAGTGACACAGGGTGATGCTTTCTGCTTTCATCAGTTCTTCAAGCCAGGGGAGGCTGAAAAAGGTAGGACAGAGGTAGTCATCTCACTCAATAGTATTTTGTCGGCTCAGTCCTATGAAGAACTGCTGAGAAGTGCTCAAAATATCAAGGAGGTGGGAGATGTAAGAAAGACCTGGACAGGCAGTTCCAGCACCAAGCTTCCGAAGTTAGGGAAAAACAAAATTTTCCCCTAGACTGAATACAGTTGCAGCAGTATTATTGTTATTGGTGGTAGGTTGCTAATGCTGTTCCTGCACATGGAGCTTTTGCTGGAGGTGAGAGGATTTCTGAATTCAGTCTGGTTGCAGATGGTGGCCTAAGCTGTTTGGTTGCTCACTTTCACCCCGGCTCTGTTACAATGAAATTGTCTCTAAGAATTAAAGAGGAAACAAGTTCATGCTCTCAAAATAATCCAGGCAATAGCTAGGGGAGCAAGATGAATTGCTTTACAATTATCAGGAACAAACATTTTCAGAAAAAATGCAGTCATTTTTAGACTTTTCAGTCTCTAATGTGGAAGCTTAAAGAACATCTTCTATTGCTGTTACACAGGCTGTATGGTGGATGGAGTATTGTACCCCTTTGGAGAGATCTCAAGGACAGAAAATTGCCTCACATGCAGTTGCAGTCAACACGAAATGCATTGCTGCTCCCTGTAAGTCTGCCATCATTGCCCATAAATAGACAACAGGTTTCCATCTTCCAGGAATAAATGGGTTTCTAAAGACACAAGAGAGCATTTCTTCACCGCCCACAGAGCTGGGGCAAGCCATACATAGCTTCTCACTCCGTTCTGTGTTAACCTTGGTTCAATTTCTGCTGACTGGGAGTGGAGACAGACACATCCAGTTGGTGCTTGCCTTTAACGCTGAGCAACTTATGAGCTCCTTTTTCACTGAGGTTAAGTCCTCCCTTCTCAGGGAAAGTAGGAGGTAGAAAGGATTTCATACCTCATAGCATTTAAGATGCTCTGAAGGGTTTGTGATGACCTGAACCCCTTTTCAGTGATGCTTTTCTGCTCCGAACACGCAGACTCTAGAGTGACATGGCTCTGCTCTGCTGTCTCTCTGTCTCCAACATCCTCCTTTCCTCATATCCCACTTTCTCCAAGAGCTAAAATGGAGTGATTATGTTCCTCATCTTTGCTCAGGTGACTCCTACTGCCAGGAGACAGAAGCCACACTCCAAGCATACAGAAGGTTGTGAAAAGTTACTGGAAGAGAGATAAAACATGATGAAACTGATGAAACTGTGCTTACACCACACTTCAGAGTGCCATGCTAGATAATTTCTAGGCCAGTGTTGACCATACTGATACCTCTATACAGCAGAGTGCAGCAAGATATTTGTTGAGGTACTGGAAGGTGTAGCTGTAGTCATTCTAGCTAGGTTGGTCTAAGCCACAGTTCAAGAGATTTCTCACTCAACACTACTTTATAATTCTCAAACCATTGAATTATTGAATTGCTTATTGTTCCATGACTAACATTTGCTTTCTCTTTGTTGATGACAGCTATACTACTCCTGTGAATTATGACAAAGAAACATGTAAAGTCATTTTCAACACGAAAAACTGTGACTATGATGTGGTACAGAAGCACCCCTCAAAGCTGTGCACTCGATTCACTCGTATAGGCTAACAATGTGCCCTGCTTCAAACCACTCTGTGCTGTGGGATTCACCTGTTCCTGGAGAAGCTTTGTCCTCATAGAGATGCTCAAAGACATGAGAGATCTTATAACAAAGAGTACTCCAGTGGATCCTTCTTAATCTCCCAATTATTCTAATTCAGTAAACAAGACGCATAATCAGAGACAAAGTCTTATTTCTTTCATTACTTGCATTGATATCACTGAGCTTTGTTGAACAATAAATCCAGGTGAAATATTTAGAATTGCTTCATAATGATGGCTATTTGTACATAATAACATTGAAGAACAACACCTTCCCTGAGAGAGGAATGTATTTCCCTCACTACTCCAACATGCCAAAGATCTGTGCCCTGACAGAAGCCACTTGCATACTTCGCAGGTTCTGTTCTTGCCAAGAATCAGAGCATCCATTTTAGCTCCCCATATGTCAAAACATGAGAATGATGCACTATTTCGTATGTATTCTGCCACTGCTCCTACTTCAGGCACACAGCAGTCCTGGGAGGAGAGGAGGACACTGACCAAATTACCTTCAGCAAGCTCTCTTCTCCTCCGTGTCAGATTCTCTGAGACAACCTTCCAGTACCTTCCTGAGAGTGATTGGCACAGCTGGATCCCACCTGTCAGAAATTCAGAATTTCTGGAGTTTGAAAAGAACCCAGTCTCAACATAATTTTAGCTGTACATTCTTGGGGTGCCCTCTCATCCCAAGATCAATGTCTTCTCCTGGTCTGTATCACAGCCATTGAAACAACAGGCGTCTCCTCCTATCAAACTCAGTCACCTGCAGAATGCCACATCAACTAGCCTGGGATTTGAGGAGGAGAGTTTCTCACAGAGTGAATGGACTAAGTAACACAGCCAGTGACTGGCTGGGCTTTCACAAGAGAAATGGAAAGAAAAACACGCTGCAGAGTGGGTTGATCCTCCATGTACTTCAGTTTCCATGAGGACAATCTTTTCATTTCAGGTTCTGCCCCATCTCCACCTGCCATCTGATGAAATATTAACTCCAGTTCTCTTTCTCCTTTTTCATTTCCTCTCAATATGAGACCTTGTGACCACCTTACCTTCCAGAGTCAGCAAACATTCTCCTGCCTCTTTTTTACTTGAACAGCCAAGCTGTGCCTTGACATCAGCTTCTGTTCTCCTGCTCTGCCAAGTCCAGCCTCCTGCTGCATGCAGAACTACCTGAGGCCTTGCAAATCCCTTTTTTCCCCCTGCAGACCTAAATTTTGGATTTGGTCCGTCACCAGGCAGAGAAGTGCAGCCATTGATGGGCTTCTAAACAGAATCTTCCACTCGGTCCTATCCTAAATCAGAACTATTTATTGTGGTACGTTTTTTTTTGAGCTTTGTTTTGGGTAAAGTGCCTATGAACACTCTCAAACTTTCTTACGGTTTTGAGATACCTCTTTTTTATTTTTCTTTTGGAGGGTGAAAGAGGGAGGGAGAACATCCAAGCATTTCACAAGTGCTAGTACTGCATTCTTAGTCTTTTAAAGTCATCTGCACTGTGGGCTGGATATTGATCAACAATTCCACGTTTCCAAAAAACTGATTCCTATGAAGCTATAGAAAATGTGAGGGTACAGAGAGAGTTGGTTCAGCATTTTTTTCCAGTGCAAATATTTGCATATGCATTTTTAAAATTTTAGATTCATTCACAAATTTAAGCATGTAATTTCTCAAACTTATGCTTCCCCTCCCAAAAACAGCATGTGGAAATGAATGTTATCCTGTTGCTGAGAATAAGTTCTCTCCAAAGAGATTTTGATTCTTGCAGAAGAGTTTTTTTTGTCCTGAATGACTTACTCCATTTTCTGC